CAGAACTCCATTTTCATGCCAGATAAGATTCTGAACTTCTATTCTGAATCACCAGATTCTAAAGTGCAAGTTGTGTAGGATTAACAGGAAGAACCAAGCCTCTCTCCCTCTCCTCATCCCTTGCCCTTCACCCCCAAGTCCTAGAAGAACTTTGATATGGACGTAGGCAGTGGTGGGCGCCTCCCAGAGCTGGAACTGGCCCTTAAATCATAGTTCCTGGAAAGGGGTCTGTGGAAGGCAGCCGGGTGGCATTTAGAGAGCTTTCTGACAGAGAGGCAGTGACTTTTTTTTCTTAACTGATGTTAGTTTTCATAAATAAATGACTTTGTTTTGTTATGTGTTTCTTACTACTTCTAGGGTTGTGGTTTTGGAAAGTAGGCCAACTGATAACCCAACAGCAAACAGCAATTTGTACATCTTGGCGGGTCATGAAAACAGCTACTGAAGACATGGCGTTGTTGACAGTGACCTGTGGAGACGGGGCCCATGGCCGCTGCAGCGTTTGTGGATGCAGGGAGCTGCACAGAAGCTGCAGGCACCTGGCTTCAGTTCCTTCTAATTTATTGTGGATGAGACAGTGGGAGAACTTTTGTTTTGAGTGGTATGATATATTTAGCGTACTGAACCACACAAGTGCTTAATTCACTGGTATGTAATCTTTGTACATAGCAGCAGTATTTTTCTGTGAAACTTCATTTGCTGAAGACATACACTAAGAATTGATGTAGATAATGTACTTTTATGAGATGTAAAAGTGTCTTATCTGTACAGATGTAAATGTTGATTAAAATGCAACTGGGGTTAATATTTTAAGAATTCTTTAGTATATTCTTGGGTGTGGTTATATTACAAAATGGGATGCCAGCAATGAAACAAGACATTTAACACTATTGTATTTTTATTATATGTAATTTAGTAATATGGATATAAATCTTGTAATTTTTGAAATGGTAACGAGCTGTAATCATTTTATAATCTTGTTTTTAATGTTAATGCGAGCACTGGTGTTTCTCCTGCACAGAGCGTTGAGCTGGAATGAGCTGAGTCACGGAGACAGCTGTGGCGCCGGAATCCGCATTTGGCTCCACAACACCTTTTTACATGTGTTTGGATTGTTTTCTATGTGAAAGAAACAGATTAGTCACCTGTTGTAGTAACTGATGGTTTTCTATTGAAGCAGAATCGTGTAAGATTCACATGCAATCACAGCATGGCGGTGCCATGATAGAACCCGCAGCTGTGGTCGGGTTACAGTGTGCACACTGTCCGGAGCCCACACTAGACATTTCACATAATCACACTGAAAAGCTCTAACATTCCAGAGTGGTCAGATTTCTCGTGGAATTTTTACTTTTGTTGGCCTTTTTGTTTTTCTCTCTTCCATATTTCTTTTGATTTAGAGTATTAATAATGGCCAAATAATTTAGTTACTACCTCATATAAACATTATAATGGTTACTACACATCACAGGAACTTAGTTTGGTTAAAATCATTTTTGATTGTTTTTTTCCAATGGAATATATCTATCTTATCAAGATGGATATCAAGTTATAGCAAAATGCACACTTCTGGCTCTCTTTGGTATATGTTCTTTATATTTTGATGTATGTATACACTAAGAACAAGCTAAATTGTGATTTATGCTCTTCATTTATTTTAATTGATAATGGTTTTAAATATGTTCCTGATTGTACATACTGTAAAATAAACATGTTTTTTAACATGCTGTTGAGTAGTTGCTTCTCATCCGCCTTAGCAACATTAAGGAGAAATGCTTTGATTAAGAAATGCACTTAAAAGAGTCATCATGATTTGATCTGTGTTTGTAAGATAATATTCTCACACTTGAGAAAAGGCCATCTTTTGTAGAATCATGGATTCTTGTCAGGAAAATTAAACACTCATGATATTTTGGTTAGAGCAAGAGTTGGCAATTAATATCTTAGCCAAATCTAGCCCATCCCCTATTTTTGTCAATAAAGTTTTTTTATTTACTTTTTAAGTATACAATATTCTGTTTTGTGTGTATGCCTGCAGGCCAGAAGAGGGCACCAGGCCTCATTACAGATGGTTGTGAGCCACCATGTGGTTGCTGGGAATTGAACTTAGGACCTTTGGAAGAGCAGGCAATGCTCTTAACCACTGAGCCATCTCTCCAGCCCTGTCAATAAAGTTTTATGAGAACACAGCACCAGTTATGTATTGACCTGTTGTCTAAGACCATGTTCATACTTAAGTGTCAGACTTGAATGGTTTCAGAAGAACAGCCTGGCCTGCAAAGCTCAAGTGTCTATCGTCAAGCCCTTTACAGAATGTGTTTTGTCACAGCCTGAGATAAAACAGGAAAGGAGTGTTGGGGGTGCAGTGCTGAAGGTCAGGAATCCAAAGATGGGGTGGGAAGAACGTGGCTGCGTGACCAAGAGATGTTGTTCCTATTGACTCTTACACAGCCTGTTCCAGCAGTCTTGGATCGTTGACTTCAGAGCCATTACTCTGTCTATAATCGGAGCAGTTATGGTTATTATTTTTCTAATACATCATAAACAACCAACATTAATTTTGTAATCACCTTTATAAGAATAACATCACTAACTAGCTGAAAAACAGACTTGTGGGCAAGCTTTTAAGAAACCAGATTCTGCTCTTAGCATTGGCTACCAAGGCGGATGATGCTGTTGTGGGTTACATTTCAGCAACGTTCACCACATTAAACCACTGAGCACTCAGAAATACTGCCCCTCCCTGAACGTGTCTATAACTGGTTGTATTTCACAAAATATCCCTGGAATCAAACTCTTTAGGAGTAAGGGCCACTAATCTTTGTTTCTATGAGGTATAAATTGTTCTGATATGCCCCATGAGTAAGAATCGCAGGTACCGATTAACTCTAAGTCAGCATCTCTGAATGTGGCCCAAGGAGCACTGGTTTCAGAATATCATTTGGATGACAGTTTCCAGTGCACACCCCTAGGCTCTGCAGAAGAGATCCACGCACATCAACGTTGGAAACAGTCATTCAACTAACATTCAGGATGCCTTTCTTGTTAACTGTGCTTCAGAAAAGGTGTGTCTGAGTTGTGTTTAAGTAGAGACCACAAAATAAAGGTCTAGTCATTCCCATCATTACTAACACAGAAGGGAAAGTACTGGACTAGGGGATAGCCTGTAAACCCTGAAAGGACTTCTAACATCTGTTGGGGATTTCCTATTGAGGTAAATCAGAAATCCATCCAGTGAGGGTACTTGGTGAAATGAAGGTAAATAGCAGAAGTAAACAGTGTGCTAAGGGTTATATGCCTGTAATCCCAGCTGTGGGGGAAGACCACAAGTTCAAGGCCAGGCTGTGTAGAGCAGGTGCTCTCTCCTGCATTTGCTCTCTCCCTTTCCCACCGTATAGATGTATGTAAACACACACATACATATATATGTATCTACACATATTCTTTATATGATGTAAGTACACATATAAACAAAAGATACCGTGATTGTGCTTTAGGGAAATAGCATAGGTAGAGGAAAAGAAACTTAAAAGTATGCAGGAGGAGTTCGAGGCCAGCCTGGTCTACAAGAGCAAGTTCCAGGACAGGAACTAAAAAGCTACGGAGAAACCCTGTCTCGAGAACAAAAAAAAAAAAAAAGTATGCAGGAGTGGTCTGGTAGGAGAGAGGCTAAAGTTTAGACATGCAAAAATACTGCATGTTCAAGTGATATTGGACGCCGTGGAGCCTAAAGCATGTGGACCAGGCACGGTGCTGGAGAGCAGAGGTGGGCCAGCCAGAGTCTATAGGCGAACAGCTTGGAGAAACCAGGAGTCTGCACAGTCATCCCAGTACTTAGGAGGCAGAGATGGGAGACTCAGTTCATTGTCTTCCTTGGCTACGTATCAAGTGTTCTGACCAGCCTGGGAAACATGAGATCCTATCTCAAAAGAGTGGAGAGGAGCCCAGTCGTGGTGCCTAAGGCAGGCAAATCCCTGAGTTTGAGGCCAGCCTTTTGTACATTGCAAGTTTGAGGACAGCCAGGACTGACTAGAGAGACCCTGTCTCTAAAAAAAAAAAAAAAAAAAAAAAAAAAAAAGTCAGGTGGAAGGCTGGAGACGTGAGTCGGTGGATAAAGCATTTTCCAAGCGAGTGTAAAGACCCAGGCTTGAATGCCTAGAACTCATCACGTAAAGCTGTGCTCAGTAGCAGCCTTTGCAGTCCTAATGCTCTTGGGGCAAGAGCTGGAGAGACAGGACAAACTCCCTAAGTTCACAGGCCACTCTCATACACAAAAGCAAACAAAGACCCTGTTTCAAGGTGAAAAACAAGATGCCAGAGGCCACACACACAGTCCAGTAAAAATGGAAACAGCCCCACAGATTTATACATAAAGTGACTTGATACACCTGATGAAAAATGTCTTCTGGCGTAAGGTCAGAAACCATACAAAAATGTGTAGGTGTTTTTAGGTGAATTTAGTGGATACATGGTTCTGGTCCTGAAAGAGGAGCAAGATGCATGTGGTCACTAGTTTAATTTCGTTTAAAATGTGGTACTTGAGCTTATTAGTGAGGAATGGGGGCTGAGGTAGGGAAGACACCTGTATGGAATAAGGGAAGTTTGGGCAGCGTATATAGAGACAAAGAAAAAAGAAACATGGTAGCTGGTGTGTGTGTGTGTGCCGATAACGACTCGATTTCTCTTTCCTGAGGTTTAACACGTTTGTCTCCGTCACATTCAATGACGTTTACCTTACTTCCTTCTCCACTTGGACGACCAACCTTGTCCCTTACTCTGAATCCGCCAGGCACTCTGGAGCATTATTGCTGAGTTAACGAAAAGATGTCAGTGAGCCACGGCGGATGACTCAGAACCTGACTCCAAACAGTACAAGATAAAAGAGCTAAGAATGATGGATTACTAACTCAAGGCTGCCCTGGCAGGGAACAAACCCAGCGAGTTCTGGGTGGAAACCTTTGTCCGGAAGCTGCGCAGCCTGCGCGTCCCCGTTGCCCTGGCAACGCCACTGTGGCTCGTTCTCTCGGGAGTTCCCGCGCCGCTGCAGAGGACGACTCAGGCTGGGGGCCCCGCGGCTGTCCACTGCGTCGTCACCCTGCCTGCCTCGCCCGAGTCAGTGCCGCGTAAGTGCGGGTTCCCAGGCCGGGGATGGCCGAGAGAAGTGGGGGTCTGCGGGGCTCCGGAGGTCAGCCACTCGTAGGCCGTGGGGGTGTGGGGGGGGGGGGGGACACAGACTCACCTGTGCATCTAGGGATCGCGTGTGGCCTGGACGCAGGGAAAAAGCAGTAAGCTCAGAGGCTTGGAAATGAACCGAGTTTTCACCAAACGCCAGGTCCTTTGTGTGCGCACCTGAAGTGTGGAACATAAACAAATGTATTGTGCAGATTGTGTAAATGATGTGTGAGCTAGTTTCCGACTGTGTTGACACGAGCACCTTTATACGCAGATGTATGCCTTTAAATTGTAGTAACTCAGTAAGGCAGAATCCTCGGTCGGTAGTCAGTCCATTTTCCCCATCTAGTCAATTAAACGTGAAAGCATGTTTGGTTTCACTGGAACAGGAGACAATAAGCGGTGGGCGGCATCCCCGAGTGATCTTTCCTGGCCGAACCTGTCCTTTCCCCTGAACATTCCTAAAGCCAGGCATTTACCAGTTTGTTTTTAACAGTTTCCTGTTGACATCTTAGATTAGGAAAGTCATTTTTCCACCTTTTTTCCCTACCCACCGCTTCCTCCCCATCTTCATTTTGTTTGCCTGTGTGTTCCTTGTGCTTCCTCAATCCCTCCGGTACTTAGTCTGTGAAACAGTTGGGAAAACGAACCATCAAGTATTTTTTTTTCTCCAGGTACATTATTCTGTAATCCTTCACAGTAAAGAAATGCCATAGAAACTTTCTGAGGAATTGAAAAATCCAGTGAAATCTCACTCACCCCTCCACCTATGTGAATCTTTTTTGTGATCACTGGTGGCCCCCAGCCTGCTCCTGCCTTTGTAGGCAAACCCCATTAACTCAAGAGGCAAGTTCAGAAGTTAGCATGGAAGGTGTATCCCACTTGGAGCAGAAGGTGCCTGGTAACTATGGAAACGTTTTCATCCAACAGCTATACCCATTTAACCTTGCCCAGACAGTGTGCTAATAATCAACAGGTACCGTGGTTTCTGCTTTTACAAAGGGAAAAAGAAGATTAGAAAATGAAACTATAGTAAGATTTAAAAACCTACTGTATGCCAGGGAATGGGCATCGATGCAAGTCCGGTGAGATAAAGGAACATAAGGAAGGGGAGGGCAGGGTGGGCATCCTCCTGCCTTTGGGGGCTGGGAGATTTGAGCTGAAGTGTGAAAAAGGAAGAGGATTGAGACAGTGCACCCTGAGAAACAAGCAGACACAGCTGAAGGTGCTGGAGAAGAATCTGAGAGACAAACTAGGAAAGGAAAAGCAGGGCGGGCTAGAAAGGATCCTGCCACAGTGTGAAGTCTATTCTGTGGCCGTTAGAGGCCATGATGTACTTTCAATAAAAAGGAATGTTCTGGGGACTGAGATGACTCAGTGTTTAGGAGTGCTCGCTGTCCCTCCAGAGGCACCCAAGGTTGGCTCCCAGTACCCATGCTAGCAACTCACACCGTCTTAGCTGTGTTCCAGGGCAGTGGTTCTCCACCTTCCTAATGCTTCAACCCTTTAATACAGTTCCTCATGTTGTGCTGACCCCCAACCGTAAAATTATTTTCGTTGGTACTTCATAACTGTAATTTCGCTATTCTTATGAATAGTAATGTAAATATCTGTATTTGCCAGTGGTCTTAGGAGACCCCTGTGAAAAGTCCCTTGACCCAGCGGCCCCTGCCCCAGATGGATCGCGACACACAGGTTGAAAACCACTGTTCTAGGGTATAGCCTACTCTGGCCTTTGTGGACACCCACACACATGACACATGCATAGACACAGATACACACATTATAAACACACAGCACATGTGCGCACACGCACACACAAATAATCTTTAAAACTTTATTATTAATGCGTGAGCATGCCACAGCGTGTGTGCAGAGGAGTTAACTCTTCGTGGAGTTAATTCTTCCACCTTTATAAAGATTCCAGGGATTGGACTCAGGTCACAAGGCTTGCCTAGTTCTGTACCAAGCTGTTGAGCCATCTTCCTTTTCCTCCTCCTCCTCTTTCTATTGTAACATAACCACAGTACCGATGACCAAAATCAAGAAATTTACAATCAAGTGCACATATGGTATTTAGATTCTCGGTTGCCCCGGTATTGCTCTTTGCAGATCTTCTCCCCACTGCACAGGGAATTCAGGATCTCACACTGCACACCCTTTTCAGTCTCTGTGACTCTGGAGCAGTGTCTCGACCTTGACCTTGGTCTTTCCTGACCTTAGCGTTCTCAGTCACCTGTAGGAGCTATTCCTTTGTGACAGCGCCTGCTTAGCAATAACACAACGGGGACGCTACGTCCGCCTCCTCAGTATTTTGTATTTTCTAGAACTTTTATGTGCATAGAATTACACAATATGGGTGTGTGGGTGTGTATCTGACTACTTTAACCTAGCTTTCCATTCTTAGATTTGGGGTTTTGTTTATTTTATCTTGTTTCTCCCATTTTTGTGTGTTTTTTTGTTTGTTGTATTGGGGGGGGGAGTCAGTGTTTTGAAATGTAACCCAGGCTAGCCTCCGATACCCAGTCCTCCTCCTCCTGCTTCCCAAGCTGAACCTGGCTGTGCCCTATGAGGTCACTGTCTCGTGAGGCCCATTTAGTATTCCTTTCGTGTCGCTACTCAGCTGTCCTGACGTCATCTGTTGAAGTCTTTTGTCCCCGCTGAAGCTCTTTGGCACCATTATGAAAAGACAATTAGCAAGTGCTGTGACTTGAAATTACCACGACGCTTCCAAATTCGTGTTGAAATGTAATTACCATTGGCCATGTTGGGAGATGGAACCTTCAGGAGGTAATTAGGCCCTGAGGCTTCATGGGTGGGATGTGTGCGGTTATTAATAAATGCAGGAGTGCCCTTAGTTCCCACCTCCCATCATTTGACAGATCAAGAAAATGCCAGTGTCTTCATATTGGACTTGGAGACTCAGAACTTTAAGTCAGTACATGCCTGTTGGTATAAATTATCCGGTCTCAGGAGCGGTGTTAGAGCATCACAAGAGAGACTGAACCAGACATAACTTAAAAGGCTACTTCTTGGCTCACTGCTATGTTCCATTGATAGATACTTAGTTTTGTTTTGTTTTTCCAGACAGGGTTTCTCTGTAGAACAATCCTGGCTGTCCTGGAACTCACTCTGTAGACCAGGCTGGCCTCGAACTCACAGAGATCTGCCTGCCTCTGCCTCTCAAGTGCTGGGATTAAAGGTGTGCACCACCACCCAACTGATAATATATGTCTTTATGCCATCATCTCACTCCCTTGATTTATTATAGCTTTATTAAAATAAGTCATAGCGTTAATAAACCTTGAGTCCAGGTGATAGCAATTTCCCAAGTTTGTATTTATTTTGGCTATTTAGGGTCCTGAGCATTGTCATATAAATTTAAAATTCACCTAATTAGCTTCTACGTTAAAAAAAAAAAGCCTATTGACAGCCAGGAATGGTAGCTCACTCATGCTTGTAACCGTTAGTTGGGCAGCTGAGGCAGGAGGATTGCCACACTTTGAGGCCACACTGAGCTACAGAATAAAATTTTGTCTCACAAACCAAAAAAAAAAAAAAAGTCTTTCATAGGAGTTGACATTCTGTTGAGTTTTCCATCTATGAACTTAACATTTTTTCCATTTAATTTGGACTGTCTAATTTCTTCTGTAATGTTTAATAATTTTTAGTGTGTAAGTCCTGAACAGTCCTGAACATGGCTTGCTACATTTATTTTGAAGTAGTTTTTTACTTCATTGGGAGTAAAATTTTTTTCTTCATTATATTTTCAAGTTGTTGGCAATATAGAAATTCAGCAGAGCATTGTGTGCTGATCTTGCGTCCATTGCCAACGTGACCATTAGTTCTATAATAATTTTTTGTTCATTTGTTAGCATTTTCTACATGCAATAATGAAAATTTTGCTTTTTATTTCCAATTTACACATCTTTAATTTCTTTAGTTGTGTCATTGTAGTGATAAGAACTTCCAATAAATCATTTAAAAGAAATGATAAAGCTGGTCGGGGGCACACACAGAAACACACGCGCGTGTGCGCGCGCACACACACACACACACACACCTTTAATCCCAGCACTAGAGTGGTGGTAGAGGCAGGTGGATTTCTGTGAGTTCCAGGGATACATAATAAGACTTTGACTGAAAAATAGAGAGGGGGTGGGAAGGAGGGAAGAAGGAAAGAAGGAAGGAAGGAAAAAAGAAAGAAGGGAGAGAGAGAGAGAGAGAGAGAGAGAGAGAGAGAGAGAGAGAGAGAGAGAGAGTGAGTCTACTTTTGAGTCCTGGGAATAAGCTTCAGTGTCCCATCACCAGGCATGGCACTGACTGCAGGTTTTATGCACAAACCCTGGAAGTTCCTTCCCTTCTATTCTTAATTTGTTGAGATATTTTTCTTGAATGACTGCTGAGTTTGTCAAATGTCTTTTATATATATGCAGGAATAAGCATGTGAATCTTGTCTTTTATTCTATTTGTATGACACACACGTACACACACATATATATTTCTGGACCCCTCAAGGTTCATCAGTCTCACTGACCTTTTCATAGGACCAGCCTTTGTCTGGACATTTTCCACGATGTTTTCTGATGGGGCATCAGCTCTCAGATGATTCTCTTCTACTGGTTTCTCGATGATCTCTGTCTATGGTTTGCCGCAGTATACCTGCGATGAAAGAATGACTCTCATGTTTAAGCTCCCTGTATCCTTCTCTTTTTGTGATATATTGAACTTTTTGAAGGTGTAGACCGATGTTCTTTATTAGATTTAGAAAGACTTGGCCATTATTTTGTAAAAAATTTAAAAAAAAAATCTTTTTTTTTTTTTTTTTTTTTTTTTTTTTTTGTAATCTTATTCTGACACTGCTAATTTTGTTCTGTGGGTTTCCGAAACTCCCCTCATCTGAAAGTCTGGGTCAGTGAGTAACTAAAGGTGCCTGCTGCCCAAGCCTGGAGAGCTGAGTTCAATCCCCAGAAGCCATGATGGAAACTGGCTCCACATAGCTGTCCTCTGACTTTCACAGGCATGCCATCGCATGAACACACACGTGCGTTAATAATTAACTGATTAAATGTACAAGACCAAAGACTAAACATTATAGGAGAAGGTTCGATGTCTTAGATAATGTTAGTCATGTGTGTCCCTGTATTTCAGGATTCTCCTGTGTCTTATAAAATCCCAACTGTGCCCCACTTATTCCTTTCCTTTCCTTTTCAGCCTCCAATGGGTGCCTATCCCATCTCTCTTATCTTCCAGCCCCAAAGAGTGATATCTGCACCGACTGGTATCAAAGTGCACGTACTTGATTTTGAGTCTATCTTCAGCCTTTCGTCCTCTTCACCTTCCTCATAGACCTCACCCTACTCTCTCCCTTGCTCCGTGCAAACTCTTAGGAAGGGGCTTCAAGCCGGCAGTGGTGGCGCACGCCTTTAATCCCAGCACTGGGGGGGGGGGGGCAGAGGTAGGTGGATCTCTGTGAGTTCAAGGCCAGCCTGATCTAAAGAGTGAGTTCCAGGACAGGCTCCAAAGCTACAGAGAAACCCTGTCTCAAAAAAACCAGAAAAGGAGGAGGAGGAGGAGGAGGAGGAGGAGGAGGAGGAGGAGGAGGAGGAGGAGGAGGAGGAGGAAGAAGAGCTCTTTAAGATATGATTCTCCCAGAGCTTTGCTTTATGACTTGTTTGTAGAGTGCATGCCTGTTGTTGAAGGCATTGGATGCATGTGGTTTGTGTTCTGGTTGATTCACATGGTTTTGTGTGTTATTTGCACAAAGATCACAGGATCACATTACCCCTGGTTGCCTCTGAGCTTCCCTCCACGTTTGTCTTGGAAAGTCGTTTTTGGCGTAATGTGGAATATGCTTGTGAACCAGAGGGCAGGCGTCACTTCAGATCACCCCGTGTTGGGTTAATACCATCATGTAGAGATGCTCATGGTGCTTTGGAGAGTTGACTGACCCTGGGTAAGAGATCCATCTTTACTGCTTCTAGAAATTGACTTAAGTCAGCAGGAATTCGGTCCTTTGTGCAATCCCTGCCTCCTTTACTTCCTGCTGAAATACATTTCAAATTCTTTGTATAAGGAAAGATTATACTGAGAAGTTATTTCAGAACCTTTTTTTTTTTTTTTTTTTTTTTTTTTTTTTTTTTTTTTTGAGTCAGATTTCACTTTGTAGCCCTGACTGGCCTGGACTTGCTCTGTAGACCAGGCTGACCTCAAACTCAGAGATCCACCTGCCTCTGCCTCCCAAGTGCAGGGATTAAAGCTGCGCAGGCCCCCACCGCGCACCCCCACTGCGCACCCCTACCGCCCGGCTTCATTTTGTTGCACTCGGATCAGTGGGAGGAACAAGAACCAAACCTGCTGGACAAAAGTAGGAGACGTAAATAATTCCGTCCCTGAACAGCACGACTTGCCTGGAAGGAAATGGGAGGATGGTGCATAGACGAAAGCCACACAATTCAAAGGCCAGGTGCCATGGTGCACACCAATAATCCCAGCGTTCGAGAGAGCAAGACAGAATTAGAAGTTCAGCATCATCCTCGGCTACATGGTGTTGGAGGCCAGCCTAAGATACTCAACGTTCGAGGCTCCCTAAAACCAAACAACAACCCAACATCAGCTCCGTTGTTAAGCTGTGTCACGTTCACAGGGTCCCCGGTAGCTGTGGTGTAAAGTTCTATTCCAGTAACCTCCTAAAGTGTTTGTGTTCTCTCCTCTTTGCAGGCAAATATATGCATGCTACCTTTAAGTTAAAGATACCTCTGTAAAACAATATAGTACCATCAATACAATTTCCAGGACTTCATCTGTCATGGATTTTCCCTGATGTTTCTTGTGGGGTTGATATTTTCCCCCTTTAATGAGGATTTGAATCCACTATTTAAAAAAAAAACACACACACACAATTTTTAAAAATCTATATGAATAATCATTTACCCAGCTAAATATTATTTCCCATAATATAATTTTGTTCTGTTTGTTTGTTTGAGACAGTGTCTCACTGTGTAACCTATACCGGCCTTGGATTTATAATCGTCCCACTTCTGCATCCCAGAATGGGGTGTGTGTGTGTGTGTGTGTTTCCCGAGAGAAGGTCTCGTGGGTCCCAGACTTGTCTGGAGCTCACTGTGTAGCTAAGGACAACCTTGAGCTTTCTGATCATCCTGCCTCTCCCCAGTGCTAAGATCACAAGTATGTACCTACCACACAATCAAAGCCAGAGCTTCAACCATGCTCGGCAAGCATTCTGCCAATTGAAACACCACACACACACACACACACACCTTAGTGTCTCTTTTTATTGTAGCAAATAAAGGAAGATTATGTCTCTCTCCATTGAGATAACCTATGGATGAAAAAGACTGAATATTAATCACTGCTGTAGATTTATTTGAAACATGAGAAATTTTATAAGCGGTTAACTCCTCCAGCTAATACTGTTTTTACTACTAAGACCTAAATAGAAGAGCTCTTCAAAGTTTGCATTTATTTTGAATTAGCCTAGAAGCGGGGTAGTGTGATTTCAACTGTGCTTTGTGGAACCCGAAAGACTGTTTCTAACTCCACTGTCGGGTTCACCGTGCTTCCGTTTTCTCCTGGCTACAACTGGATAAAACAGAGTGTCTATGCCGAGTGTATGTCAATACGCGATGTCACCTCAGTGTGCGCTCTCACAATTATATTAGATTATGCACACAAGATTGTGCTGGATAAAGGGGTAGGATTTTGAGGCTAATTTCAAATTTTATAGCATTAATTTCTACCTGATTTATTTAATCATTTTGGCCTTGGTTGTCATTGAGTGTTTAGTCACAGGCATAAGCAATGTAAAAGATAATAAACATGAGAGCCAGTATTTTCCTAGAAGTCACTGGATATGGAAGTATTGGGGAAGAATTAGGAAAATTTACCTCCTTTTTGATATATCTTATTATTATTTTCTTTGGGGGGGATTTAAAAATTGTCCAGTCACCCCAATGCAAATAAAAGCTAAGAACAAGAAATGGTTCCTTGGCCAGCCAAATGGATCAGGTTAAGAAGGCGTTTGCCAGGCAAGCTTTGTTTGATTTTTGTTGTTGTTGCTTTGTTTGTTTTTTTTGTCTTTTGGAGACAGGGTTTCACTGTGTAGCTCTGGCTGTCCTGGAACTTGCTTTGTAGACCAGGTTGGCCTCGAACTCACAGAACTCTGCCTGACTCTGCTGGGATTTAGGAGGCATGTACCAGAGTTACAACGTCAGGACTACGTGGTAGGAGCAGACTGAATCCCGCAGTTGTTCTCTGACCCCCATGCTCCTGCTGTCTCACACACACGTCATCATCATCATCATCATCATCACAGCCACACAATCATAATAATTGATAATAATAATAAGGTGTAACCCAAACATTTTAAGGAAATGGTGGTCTGATAAAAGCTGCATTGTTCAGGGACCACAGTTTCCTTTCTCTGTCCACTAGGTGGAGGTATAGAGGTTTGTACTCTGTCTTACAGCAAAATTCCCGTGAGTTAGGAAGACAAACAGCACGTTCAAGAGTGTGAAACCCCTTCCCATTCACTGCACTTCACAGCCTTGTGTTTTAACCATTTCCCCCAGGATAATAAAAACAATATTAAAAACAATAGTAAAGACCCATCCCCAGGTCGTTTTCGTTGAACTGTGGTCACACAGAGCCATGGTCACACAGAGCACAGGTCAACAGAAACGACCCCTGCAGGCCTTGCAACAGCTGGAAGAATAGAGCCGTGCTAACAAAATGTCATCCAAGTGCTCACTTCTCCTGCGCACAGAACGCAAGGCTTAAAGGGTGGACATATACCAACTGGGAAAGCACCGTGTTCCATGTAGCACGATTCACAAGAGTCGTTCTTGTTTTCCAGGCGCAGCGCTGTCCCTCAGTCAATCGGCTCGCTAACTTAAGTCGCTTTAACCGAAATGGAAAAGTATGAGAAACTGGCGAAGATCGGAGAAGGGTCTTATGGGGTTGTATTCAAGTGCAGAAACAAGTCTTCTGGACAAGTGGTGGCTATCAAAAAGTTTGTGGAGTCCGAAGAGGATCCGGTTGTTAAGAAAATAGCCCTGAGAGAAATACGCATGCTGAAGGTAGGTCATGAGCCCCACAGGCCGATATCTGCACCCGAGGCGTTGGTTGAGACGGACACTCTAAGCGACCGAGAATTTTAAAGTCGGGTTTCTTTCCGTTGGACTTAAATTCCTAGGGATCAGCAACTTTGGGAAGTAGGGTTGGACTCTGGCCTCTTTGATCTGATCTGATGTGTGTGCATAGCAGTAGGTGGTTAAAACACGGAAGTACCTGGCGTTCTGTGTAGCACATCCGGACTGTCCTAAGTGTCCTGACCCTTACTGTTTACCCACTGCCCTCCACCTGGCCGTCTTCTGGACATTGCCCCCACACACTTTCCCAACCGACCCGCAAAACTGCAGGAGCGCTTCCCAGGGGCCCTGGAGATGTTAGCGTGGGTCTGCCTCTGCTCAGTAGCGCCAGCCATGAACGTGTCATGAGTTCCTTACATTGTTTTTCTTTGTTGCCATTACTTTTTTACTCTGACGGAACTCGATGTAGAACTTTCGTATGTTCTCAGTGGAAATGTTTTCCTAGCCTAAAAATCCCTGTTTTTAAAGCTATAAGCCACTCGGGGACCTGCAGCATTTCTGCAGCTGCAGCCTGCCAGGGATCCTGCAGCGTTTTTTATTTAATCCATCTCAATAAGTCTCTTCAACATGAACGCCTGTGGTTGGAACCCCTGGGGATCTCACTGAAATACGGAGTCTGGAGGTGGGGGGACTGGGGTTGTTGGTTCCTGAAGTGTCCGGTTTCTAACAGGCTCCCAGAGGTGGAGTAGCCACTAGTGCGTGCGCACACATTTGAAGAGCGCACACCAACCGTCATTTTCTAAATACCTTCTGTTATTTTCAGTGGAATTTCAGCTTATAAGAGTGAAGAGCATTTGAACATTATTTGTTCTTTTCAAATATCGTGCAGTTTTCCCCCATATATTGCAGGGGTTCATTTAAAATAGAATTTGATTTAAAACAGGAGTCATTTTGACCAGCAGAGGGCGCTAGAGGATCAATTTGGTCTGGCGATAAACTGAAGGTTTAGGTTTTTTGCTTACTTATTTAACTTCGGAATTAAAACTATCCCAATCTGAGGATGAGCTTTAACGTGCAAAACAGCCATGCATCGTCCCCTCTGTGAGGCGTCTGGTGATGGCTCATAGTTGCTTTCCTGCCCTGAACACAGCCCTCTTTATTTTCTTCACTCTCTTCTTATTGACCTTCCATCCACCTCACACTGCCTGCTTTCCTTTAGGCAACCACAGAGCAGGCTAAGTCCACGTCACTAGCCAAGTAGCTGTGGGTCGCAGGTCTGCCCACAGACAGTTCGCCCGGGTTAAACTTGGGCACGGCGGTAGCGTGGAGCTGCAGGGTCTGAATCTCTTGTCCACCTGGCAGGAAAACTGTCCTGTTTCCAAACTGGCTTTGCTGGAGCCCAAAGCAGCCTGACTCTTAAAAACCATCCCTGTCACCCTTTGACCTTCGGCCCTTTCCGCCCATGGAGTAGGCAGAGTGAAGATTGATTTGGGGCTCTGGACATAATTCTCTTGTGTCTCGTTTCCCCAACTACTGAGCAGCAGTTGCCAGGTGATTTTGTTGTTGTTGTCGTTGTTGTTTTACATTTTGTGTGTGTGTGTGTGTGTGCGTGCATGCAGGTGCCTTGGGATCCCCTGAAGCTGGAGTTACAGGTGGTTGTGAGCCATCTAATGTGGGTGCTGGAAACTAAGCGCAAGTTGTCTGGGAGAGCAGGACGTACTCTTAACCTCTGAGCCATCTCTCCAACCCAGATTTTTTTTTTTTTTTGGAATGGTGACACACTTGCAGATAGTCATCTACAGATATGCAAGGCAAAGTTCTGAGTATGCCTAAGACTCTCTGAGCCTGCAAAATACTTTTGAATTGCTACAAATATACAAAATATTTGTGTGTGTGTGTGTATGTGTGTGCGTGTGTGTTGGAAAACTGATTTGTCTACTAGATATACAACAACGACAAGCAATTACAGATAGGTGACGTCATCTGTCCTGTTTTGCCCAGGAACATCCTGGTTTATAGTTTTTGTCCCAGATTCCTGTGGCGCTAACCATCCAGTACTCTCAGAAGTGTCCTGGTGTATACGGTGAACTATTTGGACCCCCTCAGCCGAGTAGCCACGTATAATAGTTTGCCCACAATTGTTCTCATTTCTACCTTTTATAATGACTTCTATACTAAGATTTTTATATTACTCTTGAGATAGATTATCTAACTTCATTATCATTTTAACTTTGAATTAAAATATTGAACAAAGGGCTAGAGAGGTGGCTCAGAAGCCAAGAGCACGTACCACTCTTGCAGAGGGCGTGGCTTTAGTTCCACAGCCATCTGTAACTTTGTTCCCGATGACCTGATGCTTTCTGGCCTCTTTGGGTACCAGGCACACAAGTAGGGCATGTGCGTACACACAGGCAAAATGCTCATATACATTAAAACAGTTTCTTAAAAAATCATGTGTGTGAGGTTATATTGCACAGAAAAACAAAAAAGAAATAAAATATCAAAGACTACTTTCTGAACTATTTCCATGTGGCAATAGAACTCAACACATGTAACATCTGTATGTACATCAGCACAACCACAGAGCAGAATGCAATGAAAAGAATACCTAAATGCATTAGCTTGGAGGGACTCCTGTGATAAGAAGGGTAGCAAAAACTCAAGAACAAGGCTCCAGTATTGCTGGGAGCCAGTACTAGAAACCAGGCTGCATTTAAACCCAGCCAACATTTGCATTAAATCCATAGTAAAAGGGGACTGGAGAGGTGGGCTCAGGCTAAGAATACACACTGCTCTTGTAGACAGCCCAAGTTTGCTTCCCAGCACCCACACCAGGCGGCTCACACCTGCCAGTAACTGGCTCCAGGGGATCTGGTGCCCTCTTCTGGACTCATGTACATGTACACATTCACACACACACAAGTAAAAAGAAAATAAAACTTTTGTTAGCCCACGATAATGTGTAAGCTGCATAGGCACTGATTATTTTATAGTCTAGCAATTCTGACAACCTGAATTCAGTCCCCAGACTTACATGGTAGGAAGAGAGATTCAGTCCCCACAAGCTGTCACCTGACCTCCACACGTGTGACCTGGCACATCCATGGGTGTTACACACCCATGCACTCAGAGACATTAATTAATCAATTAATTAGTAATAAACAGGTTAAAAGGGAGAGGATCAAAGAGGACACCTGCTATCAGCCCCTAGCCTCCACAAGTGCACACACACGTTTTCTCCTCCACAAATATACATACACACCAACACACACAATAACAAAGAAGCTTTTGTCCAGGAGGTAGAACAGTAAATTGGAGCTCGTCCTCAAGCATGGCAGCAGGTCTGAGAGCGGAGATGAGTGGAGACACATTGCTCAGCCGGGCACTTCGATTCTTTTGCAGCAGTTGAAGCACCCAAACCTTGTGAACCTCATCGAGGTGTTCAGAAGAAAGAGAAAGATGCATTTAGTTTTTGAGTACTGTGATCACACGCTGTTACATGAGCTGGAGAGAAACCCGAACGGGTAAGTGATGGAGAAACTGGAGTTCCGTGGCCAGTTCGCTCTTGTTCCCTCTGCAGTGGGCTATGACAAATTTCAAATCCCAACCCGTTTCCCATGCCTTCCCATCCCCACCCCTCCCACCCCCAGTCTATCCTGGTGCATCTGGCTACCATCCTCCAGCTTCAGGTAGGATGCGGTCAGAAGGTGATGGCCACTAACCTAGATGACGTGTAACCAGGAGAACAAAGAGGCAGTGAATCCAAAACCCAGTGTAGCTTGAGAGGAAAGGTCACCTGACCTCAAGGAGGAGCCACAGCTCAGAACAAGGAAATCTAACCACATAGCTCACCAGTAAGTTAAAGTATAAAGGCACCTACTGGGGCTGGGGAGACGGCTCAGTGGTTAAGAGCGCTGGCTGCTCTTGCAGGGGACCCATGTTTGGTTCCCAGGACCCACATGGCAGCTCACAGCCATCGTAACTCCAGTTCCAGGGGCCAAGGCCATTTTTTCTCCTTCCTGCACGTGTTGTACATACATACATGTAGGTAACACTCACACACATAAAATTTGTAAAAAAAAAAAAAAAAAAAAAAAAGTAAATCTTTAAACCAAAAAAGGAGACAGCTACAAACCTGACTGAAGTGATAAAGGATTTTATTTAAATGTGCTTGTGTTTTTAGATGAAAATGTTTACTATAGACATACAGACATCGCCTCATCCTTTCTTTTGGTTTTGTTTTGAGACAGGGCTGTCTGCGTAACAGCCCTGGCTGTCCTAAACCTCACTCTGTAGAGCAGGCTGGAACTGGAACTCAGAGTGATCCACCTGCCTCTGCCTCCCAAACGCCCAGCGCCTCATCAATTTTTTTTCTGTAGCACAAAATTCTAATCAGAATGTGCCAATAGGTTATGTTTTAAACTCTAAAAAATTAGAACAAACCAAAAATTTTTTTAAAGAAGGAAAAGGGAACACGGTAAACAATTTTGTGAAAAAAAAATCCAAAAAAAGAATTTCCAAAACTATTACACAATTAATAATTTTCAAACTGAGTAAGTTGGGTACTGTGGTATACTAGAGAGGCTGAGACAGGAGGATTACAAGTTCAAGGTGAGCCTGAGCAAACTTAGTCAAAACCCTGTCTCAAATGTCTGAAGAAGGGTTAGCGACATAGCCCCCTGGGACAGAGCTTGCCTGGCGCATGCAAGGTGCAAGGGTTCAATCTGAAGCCCACCCCCAAACCAAACAGGTGTGCAGGCCTCCTCCAGCGAGAGAGAATGCAGCCAGGTGGGTCATTCGGCAACGTCGGTGACCACTTTTAAAGCTGTTTTCATACTTTGGCCGTAGAATTCCACTTAGAGAAATATGTATCAGGGAAAGAAGAGCAAAACCACACATGCCAATATTTCAACATCATTACACAGAACTGGGACTGACCTAATCTTCCAATAGTGAAGGACTGGTGAGCCAAGACACGACTCTCCCCTGGGAAGTCCACATCTGCACTTGGGTATGTTTCTCTTCTCTTTCCCTTAATCCTGCGTACAAGGTTGGGAGTGGTGGATACATAACCGGTGATCTTAGTGCAGGAAAGGTTGAAACAGGAAGATTCCCCCTGGAACTGACCAGCTACTCCAGCCAAATCAGTGAGCTCCGGGTTCAGTGAGAGACCCTGCCTCAAAAATAATCATAGGGCTGGGGAGGTAATGGGCTGAGAGGTGACTCAGCTATTAAGAACATGGACGGCTCTTCCAGAGGATCTGAGTTCAGCTCCCAGCATGCACGTCAGGTGGCTCATAACAGCCTGTAACAGGTTGCATCTGGCAACCCTAGCCTCCATGGGCATCCACGTGTGAGTGCCCATACACATGGACACTGTCATGTCAGGGTTTCTACTGCGTGTGATGAAACACCATGACCAAAACAGCAGCTTGGGGAGGAAAGGGTTTATTCCACTTAGACTTCCACATTGCCGGTCATCACCAAATGAGGTCAGGACAGGAACTCAAGCAGGGCAGGAACCTGGAGGCAGGGGCTGATGCAGAGGCCATGGAGGGGTACTGCTTACCTCCTTGTTCCACCTGCTCTCTTATAGAATCCAGGACCACCTGCCCAGGGGTGGCACCACCCACAGTGTCCTGGGCCCTCCCCCATCGATCACTAATTAAGAAAATGCCTTACAGCCAAATCTCACGGAGACATTTCCTCAGTTGAGCCTCCGTCTTCCTGATGACTCTAGCTTGTGTCAAGTTGACACAGAACCAAACAGTTCAGACATGCATACATAAAAATTGAATAATAAACCGGGCAGTGGTGGCGCACACCTTTAATCCTAGCAATGGGGAGGCAGAAGCAGGTGGATCTCTGTGAGTTCAAGGCCATCTGGTCTACAAAGTGAGTTCCAGGACAGCCAGGGCTGTTACACAGAGAAACCCTGCCTCCAAAAAAGAAAAGTTATTTTACTAAAATTTAAATATAAAAAATTGAAATAAATCCTTAAAAAAGTAGTAATTAGGTGGACAAAAGATCCTAGGAAACCAACCCTGGGCCTTCAACACATGTACAATATGTACACGTATGTATGCACATATACAACACATGCATCTCACACTCCTACCCAAGTGGATCAGCGTCATCTTCAGGTGACCAAGGCTGCAGATGTCACCTGAAGATGATGTCCGCTCAGCCTCGAACTGAGCTAACTGATCGTTGCTTTAAGTTTTGCAGAATTGCTTTTAGTATTTGTGTTTACACGCGACCAGAGTATAATATTTAAACACCGAGTATTGATTGATTTCTCCTGAGGGTTTTGTTTCACTCTGCAATGCTTTGAAAACTGCTGCCTCTGGCAGAATGGCGTTGGGTGCTTTCCCCGTCTGGACCTAGCACTGCCCATCTGCATTCTCCAAGGTTCTATCTCCTCTCGAAGGTCAATGCGATTCATCCCCAGTGGCTGTTGACTCTGCCTGCAGTGGACTCTGCCTCCTTGGATTCTGAACTAACTGGACAGGCCACGACATTCCAGTAAGAAGTCTGTGCCTATCCTCTTTGACAACCAATGTCCCCTATCGAATTAGCTCTGCCTGGTTTCTCATTAACAAGGTCAGCAGTCAGTGTTCTGACCTTTTCTGAACCCTCGCACCTGCCTTGCTTCCCAGTTCCTCTCTCCTGGAGTCTCTGGGTGCCTACCCAGTATCCTGTGCCTGCTGATATCGCTCCCCAAGGGCTGGAACGGTCCCTCTCTTCCACAGCTTTCACCCTTGTCTGTGTTCCTGGGCTGCTAGACCAGCTCTTTCTAATCCATTTCCCACATCCACTTTACTCTCTAGAAATCCACCTTCTGCACCTATCACTTCTTCTTGATTCCTTTTGATGACTCTGGATTTAGAGCATGGTCCAGGTTCTGGAAGGTTCTATGAGACTCTATAGCTTATTGCTTAAACCTTAAATCCCCCGCCCCCCAGCACACACGTGCACACATACCACACACTTGCCCACGCGCACGCACACACATACACACACACACACACACACTCCAAGCTCTCTCTCTCTCCCTAGAACATCTTCTACCCTTGGGACCTCTGGTCACCATGCCAAGGTCATGGTCACATCTGCTGTCTTCATCTGACCTCAGACATTTTGGTGGTCACTTTCTCAGTGAATTTAAGAGTGTAATTCCATTTTCATACAGGCAAAGCAGATGCTGCCATCACTCTCTGAGCTTAGGACTTTTATAGAAGTAGGAGGTAGCAGAGTGGGATTTGAGCTTCAGCGGTCTGCCTCTTAGTGCCCAGGATGGCTATGGTCACCTTTACACTTCATAAAGCAGAAATGTTGTTATCCTGGCTTTGGCTAGGGAAAGGTGGACAAGGATAAAATTATAACACAACTCAGTGCAGGAAACAAAAATAGATGCTTCATATAGAAAAAGATTTATATAAGAATGAAGTTTCTCTGGGGGCTGGAGAGATGGCTCAGCGGTTAGGAGCATTGCCTGCTCTTCCAAAGGTCCTGAGTTCAATTCCCAGCAACCACATGGTGGCTCACAACCATCTGTAATGAGGTCTGGTGCCCTCTTCTGGCCTTCAGGCATACACGCAGAGAGAGTATTGTATACATAATAAATGAATAAATAATAAATTAAAAAAAAAAGAATGAAGTTTCTCATAATTTAATAATTAGGACCGAAGTCAAAGGTTGCCACCAGATACCTGACTGTCAAGGGCATGCTACTATAATCATGATCTAAGAGATGGAACCGTTCTGGAAAAATCACCCTCTACGTTCATTTTTCTGAATATACCAGCCTCACATGGCAACACCTTGTCATTAGGGCCAGCCATAACTGACGACCTGAGTTTAGGCCCAGGGATCCACATGGTGGAAGGAGAGAGCTCACTCCTCCAAGATGTCTCCATGCCTACTTAAAACGAGAACACACAGGCACTCAAAATAAGTAGCTTAAAATGTAATTTAAAGTTTTAAATATAAAAATTAAACCTTTGGGTCTCTGGTTTCTGAAAATAACAGTCCCATATGCCCCCAGCAGAGCTGGGAAGATGCCAACACGCAAGGAAAAGATCTGCAGTTGTGTAACGAGCAGTGTACACTGAGCAGGTAAATACTAAGACTGTAGAGACCAGGGCTTGGGACCTGACAAAATACAGTGGCCACAAGAGAAAAAGGCAAAGCAGGAGGGGGATGGGCTGGAAAGAAGAGGGAGGGAAGCGAGGATATCGGAGACATATTATCTAAGTGATTGTGTGTGTGTCTGTGTGTACCATACATATATAATATATGCTTATATATATGAAATTGTTTAAGAAAACTTAATTATAAAAGATAGAAGCAGCTGCATATGAGAAGAAAAGATGAGGAAGAGAGAAAGGAGGAGGAGGGGGAAGAAAAAGGAGGGGGGAAAGGAAGAGGAGAAAGAAGAGGAGAAGGAAGAGGAAGAAGAGGAAGAGAAAGAAGAAAAAGAGGAGGAGGAGGGAGAGGAGGAGGAGGAGAAGGAGAAGAAGAAGAAGAAGAAGAAGAAGAAGAAGAAGAAGAAGAAGAAGAAGAAGAAGAAGAAGAAGAAGAAGAAGAAGAAGAAGAAGAAGAAGAAGAAATACAGACCAATCCAAGAAGGGTGGGGCTGGGGAAATGGCTCAGCAGTTAAACGCTTGACAAACAAGCCTGTGGAGCTGAGCTTAGATCCCTAGAACCCATGTAAATAGCACAGCCTGCCTGTGATTCCAGCATCAGAGGCAAAGATGGGATCTCTAGAGCAAGCTGGCTCAGGGACCTCTTGGTTCGATTAAGAGACTGCCTCAAGGTAGAGGAAAGATGATTCCTGTGCATGTGCACACTGTACATGCCCATACACATGCAAAAAACATGCATGCACACACCACAAAATATAAATAAAGGAAAAGGGAAATAAAAAGGCATGGAATAAAAATACACAAAGTGTAGTGCTTAGAAATCACGGGAATGTTTGTTTATTTAATATGAGGCAGTCTCATGCGGCCAAGCTAACCTCCATCTTGCTATGGAACTGAGAATAGTCTTGAACTTTGATCCTCCTGCCTCTACCTTCTGAATGTTGTGATTACAGGTGTGCCCCTCCAAGCCAGATTGTTTGTGTTTTGGGGGGCTCAAAGCCGGGACTTCAGGCATACTAGACAGGCCATATTTCCGATGCCATCATGTAAATCATTAATCACTAAAAGATAAGGAACAACAAAAAATATCAGAATGAGCTATCATTTTATCCACCAATAGGCAAGCATAACATCAGCAGCAACCAAGCGTTGGCACAATGCTGGGGACAGAGATGTATGTGCACAGATGTTGGGTGGGAGTGTGATGGGTACAGCCTTCCTTAGATAGGGTAGCTTGGCAGTGTGGAGATGTGAAGGCGAGATGGGACAGTGACGTGAATAATGGAAAGGCACCAAGAGTGACTTAAGAGATGGCGGCATAAAGCAGAATGTCCCCAGACCAAAGATGTCAGCTTCCCTGTTCTCCAGTGAACATGACAACCAGTCAAGGACACTTTTGCCAACTCTCCCCATGCAGAAGGCTGATTCTGCCAGGGACAAAATCTTACATGACCTTTTTTCTCTCTGGACTCCTCATTGGGTGTCAACCCCTCCCTCGTGCAAGCTGTGTGCCCTTTGCACAGCAACCCAGTGCCTGCTTTAGAGTTTCCCACCAAAAGGTTTAGAGGGACCCTTCCAAATTCATCATTTTACCTGAAAAAGGGAGCGTTGCCCCCACCCCCCAGGACCGCTTTGCCTGTAGGATCAAGATGTACCATTGACCCCAGACATCTAACTTGTAAGATGGATGAATCTTAAGAACAAGATGTGGGACTGGTGAGATGGCCCAGCAAGGGGAGCCCCTTGACCCCAAGTCTGACAATGGGACTGGGACCCACAAGATGCGAGAACTGAGCCCAGAAAGCTATCTTCTAACCTCCACATAAGCACCAGGGCACGCGCTCCCTCTTTCCCTATTAATAGTGAAAAAAACAAAAAAACAAAAACAAAAAAACTGGAGCAGGTGTGGTGATGCACACATTTAATCCCAGCGCTTGGGAGGCAGAGGTAGGTCCCTGGGTCTGAGGACAGCCAAGGCTACACAGTAAGACCCTGTCTCAAAAACAAACAAACAAGCAAGGCCACAAGAAGGTAGCCATTTACTTTTCAGATGGAGAGTTTCAAATCCTCCTGGGAGCATTTCTAGAGAGAACGGTTGGCTCAACCGTCATAGCGGGCGTCAAGAATGATCACCGAGATGAGCTGCACCGCAGCCGCTGCCGCTGGAACACCTGTGTGCACGTGGCCTCGGTACCTCTGTGCATAAAATGTCCCTGAAAGAGGCAAGGGTGGAAGGGGAAGAGTGGAGGGTGACCCAGCAGGGGTCAGAGAGAAGACAGTCTCTAAACCTTTTAATGTTTGGAAGATATGAGCGTATTTATTCAAAATAAAAGTCAAAGAGTAAATGGAAAGAAAAAGAGACAGAGGGGCAAACAGAAGCCAACAGTGCCTGAAGGTACAACCATCCTAAAATACAGCGATTATTTTGAGGTTGGAAAATTACAATTAATGTTTTTCATGCAATACACATCATTTCATAGATATTTCCAAGCTATGAAATTGCATACCTATCATACAAGGTTTTGTTTGTTTGTTTGTTTGTTTATTTGAGACAGGGTCCCTCTATTATGTAGCTCTGGCTGTTCCGGGACTCACTCTGTAGACCAGGCTGGCCTCAAACTCACAGAGATCCACCTGCCTCTGCCTCCGAGTGCTGGGAGTTAAGGCATGTGCCACCACACCAAGTCTTAAGAAGGGATTAAAAAAAGAAAACTTTTTTTGTGTGTGGTTTTTTTTTTTCCCAGACAGTCTCATTCTGCAGTCCAGGCTGGCCTTGAACTTGTGGCAATCCTCCAGTCTCAACTTCCAGAGTGTTGGGATTAGATAGTGAGCTACCATGCCAGCTTTTGTTTGTTTGTTTTATGTAGCCCGAACTGGCTTCAAACTAGCGCTGAGGCGAAAGGGGTGTGCTGTGAGTGCAGATCTGGAAACATGTTGGTTGGGGCTTTGTTTTTAATGGGGGTGCAGGCTAGGAAATGTCTCTATGGATAAAGCACTTGCTCCACAATTGTGAGGACTTGAGTTCTCAGAACCCACATAAAACAAGGCCCAGTAGTGTGTACCCTAATCCCAGTGTTCACAAGGCAACACGAGAGGCAGAGGCAAGAGACTCTCTGGAAGCTCTGGGCCCAGCTTGCCTGGCATCGGCAGCGACGAGCAGTGGACAGACCCTGTCACAAACAAAGTGATCTCCACACGGGCACCACGGCACATGTGTCCACTCTCACACACGGGAACATAGACAATCACATAATTTCTATATATACACAAAGACTTTTACAAAAAGCCTGGTTGGAGATTTGGCTCAGGGTTAAGAGCACAGGCTGCTCTTCCAGGCCTTGATTCCCAGCGTCCACACGATTGCACATAACCGTCTGTAACTCCAGTTCCCAGGGATCTGATACCCTCTTCTGGCCTTCAAGGCATGTATGTGGCCCACTAACATACAAGCAGGCAGAACCATGTAGATAATGTTTAAAGCACTTCTCCCCCCTCCCCCCCAGTGCGCTGTGCTCCGACTATGTTGAGCCTGTCTGCCCCCTTCTTCCCAGCCCTTGCTTCTGGGACCCAAACCACAGGTTTTCATTGCTGTTTTTGGTTCTTTTCCTCCAGTGTTCCTGATGGGGTCATCAAAAGTGTGCTATGGCAAACCCTTCAAGCCCTCAACTTCTGCCACAAACATAACGTAAGTACCACTTCCTAAAGCTGGGATGTTCTCAGTAACAAATCTTCCGATAGAGAAATTGCCAGAGGGCTAAAATCAGAGCCCGTTACACAGTGAGGAAAGGCGGTTCACTCACGACCCTTCTCCTATTCCCATGAGAATCGAGCTACTGATAGCTTGTGAATCCAAGTTTGTGTGACCTGTTCAATATTTCCTTCCACCACAGAGTTAATGACTCTGAGAATTTTTTAAATTGGGCTAAAATAATTTTCCATCTTTTTCACAGCCTGACCCATCATGGCTGGGTCAGGTTGGGTTTCGTTCTTACTGTATAGTGTTGTGCAATATCAGTTTAAGATGTGTTACATTCGTTTATGCTGTAGAACATTTGTTTAATGGTGCAAAGACATGTTGTGTTCTTTTATGCTGCATTTGTTTAACTCTGTGAAGTTGTGTTGTTTTGCCTGTCTAAAACACTTGATTGGCCTAATAAAGAGCTGAACAGCCAATAGCTGGGCAGGAAAAAGACGTAGGAGGAGAAACCCGAGATTGGGAGAAGAGGAAGAGTGAGAAAGGGGAAGAGAGGAGGACGCCAGGGGCCACCCCGCTATACAACCAGCCGCGGAGTAAGAAGGACACAGAATAAAGAAAGGTAAAAAGCCCAGAGGCAAAACATAGAAGAAGAGAAACAGGTTCATTTAAGTTAGAAAAACTGGCTAGAAACAAGCCAAGCTAAGCGCAGGCATTTATAAGAAAGAATAAATATTTATTCTCCATGTATTTATTTGGAAGCTGGGTGGCAGGCCACTTAAAGAGTAAAATAAAACCAACTACTTTATGTATGTGTGTGTGTGTGTGTGTGTGTGTGTGTGCGCGCGCGCGCTCATGCGCATGTACATGCACGTACAGGAGTTCAAGCCAAAGCAAGATTATTGTTTTTCCCTGTTGTGTTTTGCCTTATTGCCTTGAGATCAAACGGTTGCAATTTTCATTAGGCTGGCCCATCAGCAACCTCTTGGGATCTGCCTGTTTCCACCCCCAGGGTTGGCATTACAGGTGTAGACAGCCATGCCCTACTTTTTATGTGGGCGCTGGGAATCCAAACCCAAGTAGATCTCAGTGCTCACAGAGCAAACAAGCCCCTGAGCCCACTGAACTGACACCAGCTCCAGGTTTCGTTCCGTTGCTGCTGTGTTTAGATAGCAGTGTTTGATATGTGGTGTCTCGTGCTTCTTCTTGTATCAGCATCATGAGCTGTATAAGGCCTGATGACCCTGACCTTGGCAATGGTGATCCTGATTGGCAGGCTCAGAAGTTACTCATTTTGTTGCTCCTCCCTCCGACCCCCATTTTCAGTTTCTCTGTAGATCTTTATACCCGATGGTTTCCACTTTCTTGCCTGAATCTAGAACTCATGGAGATTAAGAAATGGTCCTTTGCCAAAGGTGTTATTGCTTCTGCATTTTCATTGGGATTGCAGCCAGGTATGGTGGTCCACACCTGTAATTGCAGTTCGCAGAATGCCAAGGCAGGAGGATCATGAATTGGAGGACAGCCTGGGTTGTAGCATGTGCTCCTGTCTCAAAAATAACCTAAGTAACAATAATAGTTGGAATTGCCTAGAAGGTAGATTACTCTTGTGGACTCTGGCTGCTGTAAAATATAGGAAGACAAGGATGGACTGGGGTGTAACTCATTGGTAGAGCGTGGCCAAGGCTCTGATTCAATCACCAACACTGCAAAGAAACAGTCTTTTAAGACCGGGGAGCTAGCTCACTGGTAGAGTGCAGGGTCAATATATGCAAAGCCCCGGCTAGCTGCAATCTGCTCAACTGCAAAAAAGTAAGCAAATAAAAATAAGGTAAATACATGATGCTATCCTTCATGTGTCACTGTTTAGAGTGATGTATGTGTCTCAGCGTCCTCCCTCAGCGAACAATGTTTGCTAGGGTTATCGATGGCTCTTATTGCTTGGGTGTTTGTGGTGCCTGCAGTCATTTTCCGCTCTCATTTTGGGCCAGGGGGAGCTCACTCCAGTTGGCTCCTGGAGCTTTTACTAGAATGAGAGATTTTATAAAATATCTCTAGACCTTCCGAGTGGGTACTCAGAGTGCCAAGACACTGATTCAGAGCGCCATATGGGCATTTCCAATGCCAGCAAGATGTCTACCACTGTAGTCTGGGATCGCTGGGAAAGAAAATTCAAGATCAGGGAACTAAATATCTGTGCTTAGAGAAGCTCTCTTTAGTTTCACAAACGCCACTGAAGTTTCCATTAGAACAAAGAAAAAACCTTCATTTTCAGACATTTCCATGACAGAAAATGGGTGTTGTTCACAAGACACAAGCCTAGCTTTCATGATGCAATTTGTGCCTCCCAGTCTTTAGAAAAGGTGATGTTGGATGGAATCAGTCCGTTGCTTTCTACTCTACTCCAGGAGACAAAATGTTCTCCTAAAGTTGATGTAGAAATAGGCACAGCTTTTAACTTTTTTTATGTATATGGATATTTTGCCTGAGTTTGTCTGTGTACCACAAGCATGCCCGTGCATGAAAAGGTCAGAAGAAGGCATTGGATGCCCTGGAACTGGAGTTACAGTGGTTGTAAACCACCCCGTGAGTCCTGGGAATTCAAGTTGGGTCTTCTGGAAGAGCAACCAGTAGTCCTAAACACTGAGCCATCTCTCCCGCCCTGTTGATTTTTAAAGATACAGTTTTTTTGCCTGTATACTTTTGGCCTGTATACTAAGACACTCTTGAGGACAGATAAATGGTGAAATACCTGAGGCTGATTCATCTTTTTATCTCTTCCTTGCTTACCACGGACCTCTTATATAAACCGTGCTCAGCCAATATCTGTTGAATAACCAGATAGACAGGTGGATGGATTATCCAACCAGCTTTCTTCCCTGAGTGTAACCAAACAATTATTGCAGCTTAATGTAATCGGCATTGCCTCTCCACTTAGAAGAACATATCCTATACCCTGAGCTTTAAAATATTGCAGGCGTCTCGTTAACAATCAGTGGGCACTATTTAAAAATGGGCAACTTCTTAGTACAAATATCATTGTGGATATGTTCATGATGGGGTTGGTGCATGCCACAGTGTTCATGTGGAGACCAGAGACCAGGTCTGTGACGCTCATCCTCCCCCTCCCCCTTCACATGGGTTTCAAGGTTGGAGCTCAGGTTGCTAGGCTTGCAAGGTAGGTTCCCTTAGCTGCTAAGCATTCTGACTGGCGGGGCAGGAGGGGGAATAATTTCTAGGCAATTTAACTCCCCCAAGATGAAATTCTCTTTTTTTAATTATTTATTTATTATGTATACAATATTCTGTCTACATTTATGCCTGCAGGCCAGAAGAGGGCACCAGACCCCATTACAGATGGTTGTGAGCCACCATGTGGTTGCTGGGAATTGAACTCAGGACCTTTGGAAGAGCAGGCAACGCTCTTAACCGCTGAGCCATCTCTCCAGCCCTGAAATTCTCTTTTGAATATGTTCATTTTCTCATTCTCCTGTATGAGCATCTCAGTGTTGTTGAGTTGTTGTTGTTGTTTTTTCAGTCTCTCAAGTCTGCATTATCCAACCTGGATTGCGATTCATGAATAGTAGTGATTCTTGTTAAAGGCGCCTACTGTTTACATTTCTCTACACTTCCTGTTACAGTTCAAATAGGCGCCCTAGAACGTGAACAACTCTTGGTACTGAGTGTGTTCCTTTCTTCAAAAGATCCAGACAGATGCCGTTTTCACGTGTAACAATTACTGTTTTAATATCTTTTGATAATATCCTGACACTTAGATAAAGCTTTTCTTTTATTTGACAAGATTTATACATGAAAATTGACAGCTTACATTTTTCTAGGAAAATGAAGGCAATCTCTTTTTGTTTTCCAATTGTAAGCTCTGAGGCTTTGGTAAGCAATTGTAAACTACCCATCATTTAAACTAATGGGTGCTGACGATTCTTTGTCCTTTTGATGGCTCAGATAATTAAGCAAATATTATCTTGCAGTGTATTCATCGGGATGTAAAGCCTGAAAACATCCTAATAACCAAGCAAGGAATGATCAAGATCTGTGACTTTGGATTCGCAAGGATTCTAAGTAAGGACATTTTTTTCCCCTGCTTCATCTATTTCAGATGACTAGAAACTGATGTCATTTTAGGCTTACTTAAGCTAATGGATAGATGCGAAACGTCTTGTTATCCAAAGAGGGAAGAAGAAGACTCAGATAGCCTTCAGTCAGCTGGTAATTCAGCTTCCCTCCATCCAGCTAGGATTTATTGGATGACGCCTCTGTGCGCCTGGCCCCCCAGGAGTGGAAAAGGGATCATAAGATGCATTTCTGCTCTGCAGGCACTCATAACCCAGAGTAAACGAGATGAAAGAATAAGACAAGATGGTCGGCCATAAAGCACTGAAGTGAGGAAGCAGATGGTTCCCCGGGGAGAGATTGCAGCATGGGCTAGAGTGATTGGAAAAGCTGTAAGAGTCAGCTGGAAATGAAAGGGCCGCCAGGATCCAGAGACAGTGCTAAGAGAAAAGACACCATCCCCAGGCAGTGAGGGGTCAGAGGGATGGGCGATAGATAACTATTTCTCCCTAAGTATAGAACGTGGAAGCAGCAGGAACCTGTGTTAGCAACATGCACTTTGTGGGGGGTGGGAGTGGGGGGAGGTGGGTAGGTATGAGCATCCTCTGCCTCCCAGTGGTACCCAGAAGTGACTGAAGAAGGTTGAAGGAACCGAAACAAGACTGGCCAAGTGTCTCTGAGGCTACTGTGCTTGGTGGTGCAAAACAATAGGACCCAGATGATAACCCGTTTCCGCCGTGGTTGAAAAGAGAACCGGCAAATGGAGACGCTCCTAAGCTATGGGCTCAACAGAAGGTTGCGGTTAGAAGTGACAGTCGCAGTTGTCAGGACACTGGGAATTGCCCAAAGACTGGAGAGATGTCTTAGTGCAAAGCACTTGTCCTGTAAGTCTGAGGACCGGAATTCCAAGGCCCAGAAGCCACGTAAAAGCTGGACACACAGCACGTTTGCAAACCTAGTGTCCCTAGGATGAGATGAGAGTCTGAGATAGGGAAAACCCCAGAAACCCAGGCACATAGCCTGGAGGATGCAGCAGACAACCAGGAACTGCCTCAAACAAGGAAGGTGAGGAGCAGCACCCGAGGTTGTCCTTTGACCTGCACGCTTGTGCGCACACGCACACGGTATTCAAATGCTCTTATACACATACTAAATTTAAAAAGGAGAATGTCCCAAACACCGTAAGCAGAAAAGCAAGCTAAACGCATACAGGCAATGTGAGTCCAATTAGAGAGGAAATGCACAGGGGAAGGGGCTGGGGCCTGGGCTCAAATGGGAGAGGGCTTCTTAGCGTGCAGGAAGTCCTGCATGCCCTGGGCACAGCCGGGATGGGGTAGGGTGGGGTGGGATGGGGGAGGGGGGACAACACAAAACCACAGAGTTGTAGTCCCAACACTTTAGGAGATAGAAATGGGACAATCAGAAGTTCAAGGTCATCCTTGCCTACCTAGGCAGTTTGAGCCAGCCTGGGCTACACAAGACCTTGTCTTAAAAAAAAAAAAAAAGAGTTTATATAAATTTTTGGAAGAGCTGTGGATAGATAGTCAAGGTTGTTTTCTATTCTTGCTGTGAGGACTGTTGTTTGGTGAGTTGCAACCCCTGGATTTTTTGGTGGTGTTCAAACTGCTGTCTGTGTGTCCCTTACTAAGGAGAATTGCCACCCAATGTAACAACACACACCTGTATTCCAGCACTTGGCAGATGAAGCAGAATGATCCAGACTTCAGGATCAGCATTAGCTACATGGTGAAGTCTTGTCTCAAACTGAGTAGTGACCTTCAAACCCAGCACTCAGGAGACAGAGGCAGGCAGATCTCTATGAGTTAGAGGTCACCCTGGTCCAGTTAGAGAGTTCTGGGACAGACGGGAATACAAGAAGAGACCCTATCTCAAAATGGGAACAGAACACCAACAAAAACATTTATTTAGCATGTGTGCACCACTCAGAGCACCCATGGAGCTTAGGGAACAACTCGCCAGAGTGGGTTCTCCCCGACTGTCACGCAGTTCCCAAGGACCAAATGCAGGTGGCCAAGGCTGGCAACAAACAGCTTTGCCCAGTTGTCTCACTGGCCCCGCACGTATTTTGTAAAGACAAAGAAGTCTCTGCAAGTCACAAGTTTACCAATTTTTCTTTGCCTGTGGAACATTTATGGATTTGGTCCAACAACTCACATGTGACTCTTGTCACCTAAAGGCCCGATGGGATTGTTTCGTCAACTTCCCTCCAAGCTCAGAGGGAGAAGAACTGAGATTCCCAGACCTTCAGGCTCACATAGCACCATGAGATTGGATTCCACCCACTGACCATAGGCAGTACCACCCCCAGGGCAGAAGAAGTACATGTCTGACGGGAAGGCTTTCGCCCAGACCGTCATCGTCTGCCTGACACAGGTGTGACTCATGAGACAAGGAGTCAAACCACATTGTCACTATCGTCCTGAAAAGCTAGCGTGGACAGGGAACGTGAGTGTGTGCAGCCACCCAGGACTTCCGCGATTCGTCAGGACTTCTCTGTGGCTGCCCGAGTGAGCAGCCATAACCCGTGAGACTTTAGGCAGTAGAATGTGATCTTTCCTGGTCCTGGAGGCTCCAGTGGATGCTCCTTCCTGCACCCCAGGCTGTGCTAACCCTCACCTGGCAGCCACTTCCTTCAGCATCTGCTCTAAATCACAGCCGGTCTGTCTCCATGCCCCTGCGGGGCCATCTCGTAATAATGCCAGTCCTTGGACTGGGGTTACGGCTCAAGTAGTTAAGTGGTTGCTGTACAACCGTGAGGACCTGAGTTCAATCTCCAGAACCCACATTATAAAAAAAAATGCTAGGTATTATGTTGTGCGCTTGTTTGTAATCTCTGTGCTGGGGAGGCAGAGACAAGCAGGTCCCTGGGACTCTGCTGACCAGCAGCCTACACGCAGATTGGGAAATTCTGGGTAGAAGCAAGAGTTTGTCTCAAATCAAGGGAAGGGTTAGAGATGTGGCTAAAGTGCCTACCTAGCACGCGCAAAGTGCTACATAAACCAGATATGTGGCTCACTGCTCGTCTCTGTACTGGAAAGGTAGAGGCAGGGGCATTGCATTAGGGGTTCAAAAACAACATGGAAAATCACTGTCTTTAAAAAAAAAAAAAGGCAAGGTGGGAGACTGACCTGAGGAGTGACAGCTGGGGTGGATCTTTGGCTGCACATGCACGCACGTATACATTCTCTCTCTCTCTCTCTCTCTCTCTCTCTCTCTCTCTCTCTCTCTCTCTCTCACACACACACACACACACACACACACACACACATACACTGGCTCCTGAATTCAGGACCCACCTCACTATAACTCAACAATTTCTGAAAAGATGTTATTTCCAAATAAAGTCAAATCCACAGGTACCCGAAACTGGGACTTCAAACCTATGGGGGTTTTTTGGAGGACACGATTTAGCCAAAACCAAGCACTGTGCTGATGAGAAAAGGAAATGGATGAAGTCTGACTTAGACTTGGGTGACCCGACAGGAATTCTTACCCCTGTCTGGGATGACTCTCCCACGGTCTCCAGCTAGGGTGCACTCAGTGTCCACTACCCGGTGTCAGCGAGACCCCGGCTGAGAGCTACACAGGTCTGGTTAAGCTGCCGTCCCAGCTGCTCCAGGGAGAGTGGGCCAGAGGCACTCGGGCCAGGAGATAATGATGTCATTTAAACTGCCTGATGCTCTTCCTCACAGTTCCGGGAGATGCCTACACAGACTATGTTGCCACCAGGTGGTACCGAGCCCCTGAGCTTCTCGTGGGAGACACGAAGTACGGTTCCTCGGTGGACATATGGGCTATCGGCTGTGTTTTTGCGGAGCTCCTGACGGGTCAGCCACTCTGGCCAGGAAAGTCAGATGTGGACCAGCTTTACTTGATCATCAGGACACTGGGTATGAACTGCATTTTGCAGGCCACATGTTCATTATAGCACCCCGGTGATAAATAACGTAATGAAAGCAAGAAGCCGTCGCTTCTCTAAGCCTCTGCGGGGAAGGTCTCGGGTCTCGCGGTTGTAGCCAAAGCCCAATCCTGTCTGAACACACAGTGCCAGCAATGAGTCTGCAGAGGCCTTGCCAAGAAAATCCAGTAAGTCTGATATTATTTCCTGATCAGGGCAGCCAACATTTAAAGTAATATTAACGTAATGCACTTGTGTACTACCTTAAAATTTATAAGTTCTCAGTTTTAAGAAAAAACTTGTAGTCTGGACAGATGGCTCAGGGGTTAAAGAGCAGGTACTGATCTTACAGAGGACCCAAGTTTGGTTCCCAGCACCTGTCTCAGGTGGCTCCTAACTGCCCAGAACTCCAGCTCCAGGGGATTCAACACCTCTGGCCCTGCGTTCATGTGTGCAGCCTCTACCCCCAGCCCTACCCAGAGACGTACATATAAGTAACTCCTTTTTTCTAAATTAATCTTTTACTATTTTCTTAATGTGTTTTTAGTTGAAATAGAATTACATCACATTTTCCCCTCCCTTCAGCCACTCCCAGCTGCTCTCCCTCCAAGCCCTCCCATGCTCCCCCACTCTCAAGACGATAGCCTTTTTATTATTGTTATATGTATGTATATATATACATTTATATGTGTACATGTATATATATAACCTACTGAGTCCATTTGTTTTTTGGCTGACCAGCAGGGGGGCTCATCCCTGGAAGAGGCTAGTTCTCCTTCCCCCAGAGTCATTAGTTGCCCGTAGTTCTTCGCTAGGAATGGGACCCGTGAAAACTCCCCTTTCCACATTAGTGTGTCTGCTGATACTGCTGCCAGTACCGGACGGGACCTCCCTCCCACCGACTGCGCCGTAAGTCCAATCAGACAGCTGTTGGCTGCCCCGATGTGTAGGTTTCTTTATTGCACCTTGATGCACCACCGCCTGGCAGGAATTTATATCTTTATTTTAAGGTTTGTTTTATTTTGGCCAAGTGTGGTGACACACACCTTTAATCTTAGCACCCAAGAGGCGAGGCAGAGGCAGGCAGATCTCTGTGAATTCAAGGTCAGCCTGGTCCAAATAGTGAGTTCCAAGACAACCAGGACTATGTAAAGAGTCCCTATCTCTCTCAAAAACCAAAAATCAACAACAAGAGAGGTGTGTGTGTGTGTGTGTGTGTGTGTGTGTGTGTGTGATGCTGAAGGTAGAACCAGGGCCTCTCATGTATGCTGAGCAAACCCTCTGCCACTGAGTTCTCCCCCAGCTCAGTTGGAAGCCTGTCTCATGAGCTGTGGTCACTGTGTCATCTTGACAGTCAGAAGCTGTAGTCTTCTTCCCATGGTTGGAGAAGATCTACCCCAGCGAAGACTACAGATCCACTCCAGGAGCTGAATGCAAAGCCATTAACGCTGTCTCCGCAGGATGAACACACAGATCTTTCCCAGAACTGCTCTGGCTTTCTGCCTGCTGGGCAGCTCTCTGCTTCTCTCTAGCTCATTCTCCCAGACAACACTGTAGGTCACACCTTCTGTGTATGTGTCTGTCTGCTCAGTTCCCTACCTCTTTAGACAGACCAGCATTGACTCCTGTTCATAGGACCAGCTGACGAACCTTTCTTGGCCTCATTTTCCTCACTGATACAATAGAAATAAAAACAGGCAATTCTCAGACTGGACATGTAGCTCAGTGGCAGAGTGCTTGTCAATCATGCGTACATCTCTAGGTTTGAACTCTAGCACTGCCTGGCTCAAGCATGGTGATGCATGCTTGTGAGCCCAAGATTTGGGAAGCAGAGGCAGGAAGATCAAGAGTTCAAGGTCATGTTTGACTATGTAGTTTGAGGCCAGCCTGGAATAGACAAGCTTCTGTTTCAAAGGAAGAAAAGAATGAGGGAGGGAGGGAAATGAAGGGAGAGAGAGAAGGGGGTAGAGGAAGGGAGGAAGAAAGGAAGGAAGGGCAGGGTGGAGGGAGGAAGAGAAGGAAGGAAGGAAGGAAGGAAGGAAGGAAGGAAGGAAGGAAGGAAGGGAGGGAGGGAGGGAGGGAGGGAGAGAGGGAGAGAGGGAGGGAAGGAAGGGAGCGAAGGAGGAAGAAAGAGAAGAAGGGACGGAGAGAGGGGGGATGGAGAGAGGAAGGAATAAAGGAAGGGATGGAGGGGGTGGGGAACTGGAGGAGGGAAGCTATCGATTCTGTTGAGAGATTGTCAGGAACAGAGATGAGACGATGAGCTTGAAGACAGCAGCACTCGCTCGCTTAGTCTTACAGGGAGAGTGGTCCTCACCCGGGCATGGGGCCTTTGCACGGGCTCACACTGCCCGTGTCTGGAGGGAACACTCAGGCACAGAGTTCCCTTAATGCCTTCGTCTTAGGAGATTTTTATGAGGTGCTTTATGATTTTCTAGCCCAAGTTATCAGGAGCTATGTGGTTTGTGTTTTACAGGAAAACTCATCCCAAGACATCAGTCCATCTTTAAGAGTAACCAGTTTTTCCGTGGCATCAGCATACCGGAACCAGAAGACATGGTAACCGGCTCTGTGCTGTGTGATTGTTACTTGTGCTGTTTCTGTAAAGAGCTGATTGTTTCACGTGTGTGCTTTTGGCTGCTCTTTTCCACATGAAGTCCGTTTAGAATGTAGACGCCACACACAGTGGGCCCAGCATGGTCACCTGAGCTCTGGAGGAGCTTGAGCCCAGCCAGCCTGAGCCGTTTTGAGGCCCTAACTCAAAAACTGTTTATAAAAATCCAGGCATGGGAGCATGGCTATAATCCCAACACACAGGTCTGTTAACACAAGTTTGATGCCAGCCTGGAATAAGGCAGCCAGGACTACATAAGTGAATCTCTCTCTCTCTCTCTCTCTCTCTCTCTCTCTCTCTCTCTCTCTCTCTCTCTCTCTTTCTCCCTCCCCCCCCTCTCTCTCTCTCACACACACACACACATGAGCACACACACAACAGGAACAGAGTGATGCTCAGAGGCTAAGAGCACTTTCTGTATAAGTGTGAGGACCCAGCGCCCATCAGAAAGCTGGGTGTGCCTGTGCACACCCATAGCCCCAGCAGTGGGAACAGGGGACATGGGGGCTTGCTGACTGTCAGCCCAGGTTCCATGGCAGACCCTAACTCAAGGAAGAAAGGAGTACAAAAGAGAAGGACACACAGTGTCCGCCTCTGGTCTCCTCATACACTTACGTGGTTTTGCACATTGGCATACGTGTACCTACCTCCCCACATATACACCAAAATAATAACTAAGATGGTGAAGGAAAATAAGTTTGCCTGACCTGTCTCTTCCACAATTCACGTACATTTAAATTTAAGTCACTCTCAGTGTCCGATACACCACATTGATGGTTTTGGTCAAACACTAAAGTTAACTCTCCCTGAAATAACTATTTTCTCATAAAGTCCTTAAACAGTTTTCTATTTTGAAGATATGTTCTCTCTCAGTTGTTTTTCTTCTTACAGAGAAAAGCAAAGAGCAATAGAAGTAAATTTAGAAAAATTAAAACATTTTTCAAGTAATGCTCAGTGTACCTAAAATCCTAGCACCTAGGAAGCAGTAGCTGCAGGATCATGGTTCCTGTTTAGCCTGAAACATAGAGGAGGCTCTGTGCTACCTACCACCTTCCATAAAACAAACAAACAAACAATCTTTGTTTCATAATTTGTACTTTCTCGTGGACATTCATTCTACAAAATCTGCTATACCCTTGCAACTCCTGACCCAAGGGCATGTCTGCTCCTAGTCTTGCCTTGTCTAGTTCCCTCTCTCAGGTCCCCTAAGCTCGGGGTCTGACCTCCAAAACTCCATGTTGATCTTGGTTTTGTGATCCAAGCCTATAATACCAGCACTAGGGAAGCAAGAGGAGGATGCCACAGTTGAAGGTCAGCCCATTCTACATAGTGAGTTCCAAGCCAATCAGGAAGACATATAGAGAAATTCTGTCTCAGGCCAATTCTGACAAAAACCATCTCTTGTTGCTGGGTTTTTCTTTGGGCCACCGGCTCATAAAAAATGACATGAAGACTTATTAATTATGAAGCTTGGCCTATAGCTTAGGCTTGCCCCACTAGCTCTTATAACTTAAATTAACCCATTTCTATTTGTCTGTGTTTTACCTCGTGACTTTTTACCTCTCTTCCATGTTGCACCTCCTGCTTTCTCTCCATGTCCCCTGGCGTGTCTCTTACACCTGGATTCATTTCCTCTTCCTCTCTCTGCCTGGAAGTCCCGCCTAACTCTTTCTACCTAGCTATTGGCCATTCAGCTCTTTATGAAACCAATTAGAAGGTGTCTTGGTCAGAGACCCATCTTCACAGCATACAAAAAAGTTTTCCCACAACAATCTCCAGACCGTCTGCCAGTTTGCCCAGTCGAGGGAAAGGAAAAACCTTCAGGAGAGGCATGACCACACCCACTGTGCTGCAGCCAGGGACCCTCAAGAATGGGAGACCTGAGAAGCCTGATAGTGACATGTGGCGTGTGATTTAAGTTCATGATTTCATGTACGCTTTGATTTCCTAAGATTATGTGTGTGTGTGCGTGCGTGTATGCACGTGTGTGTGTATGCATATGTATGTATGGATATAGTTTTAAATTTTTCACAAATATATGAGGCTAAAGATTGACTTACAAAGATAAAAGTTAAAAAAGAGGTCTGGCTTGGCAGTTAAGGCTTTTGTCTCATTTAGTGTGAGGAAGAGTTTGGAGGCCCCCAGATCCACATAAAGGCTGGCTAGCTGTAGTGTCTTGCCTATGTTCTAACCTCAGAAGTACAGACCTCAGAAAGTGGATCCTAAGCCAACTGGCTAGAGACTATCCATATGGATGAGTTCTGGGTTTGAGAGACCCTGCCTCGGGGAATAGGCTGGAAGGACATAGAGGATGATTCTGATTGACATCAGCCTTTGCCTCTGTGGACACACACACACACACAAGCACGCTTGCCCCACACAAGTGGAGAAACATGCATGCACACACACATGAAAATCGGAAAAATTCACACAAGAATTATTTATGTAACGTGTCTAATGCAAAGAATGAGATACTACAAATTCATCCGTCTGCTGCCCAGTTTGAAGAGTAGCGTGTTACTATTACCTTTGCAGCTTCTCTGTCTCCTCCCCTCCCTGCTGTTCTGGGATGCTTCACCTCCTATTGACCGCTGTAGTGTTTCTCAGTATCTAAGTCAGAGACCCCTCGTTAATGTGCCAGACTCCAACAGCCAAGCACCATGGGGGGACTCGGGTGGGACGTATGTCATGTTTGAAGCATCCATGTCCCCTTCCCTTGCAGGACTACTAGCACCAAGAGTAAGTCATTGCCAAATTAAGACAGCAATTCTAGTGTTATATCTCTTGAGCCTTTATACTAGACTACAAAATTATGTACATGTGTTTAAAAACTTAAAAAGGGCCATCAAACACATTAAGGGTGTTTCTCCCACAAATTGTCAAGTACACACACTGGGGGCGGGGAGATGACTCAGGGGCAGAATGTTTGCCCTGCATGCACAAGGCTGTAAACTGAGCCCCCCAAGACCAGGAAGCACATACATACACACATAATACACACATGCATACTACATGCATGCACATATTCATCACTTTGGGTTTATGTGACACTGAAATCTTTGTTTTCCAGGAGACTCTTGAAGAAAAATTCTCAAATGTTCAGCCTGCCGCTTTAAGTTTCATGAAGGTATGTGGGAATTATAGCTACAATTATTGAACCTGGTCATTCAGCACAGAGGGGAGGGGAGCTGTGCAGAATATAGTGCCCCAGTAGGGAACAGCAATTTAAAATGGTAAGATCAGGAGGGAGGCGATAAAAGCAGGTGCCTACGCCTGATGACCTGAGTTTGATTCCTGGAACCTACACAAAGACACTAACTTCACAGAATTATCCTCTGACCCCATCCCCACCCCGACATAGTCCATGACACGTGTGCCCATAAATATGCACACATACTCCTCTTACATACAAACAACTTTTAAATTGCTTTTTAGAACGAAAGGACCCCACTTTGGACTTTGCAGCTTGTTTCTCAAACCCTGACTTCAGACCTTTTCCCAGGTTGAAGCTGGCTGAGAGGGGGACTTCTAAGGACTCCTCCTGTTTTACAAAAATTGTTAATTGGGGAGATGAGGACTCAGGAGCCCTGTCTCCATCAAATCAATATTAATGCTCAAAAGATTAACCAAGTGCCCAGTGGTGATGGTGTATGCCTTTAATCCCAGCACTCGGGAGGAAGAGGCAGGAGTATCTCTGAGTTCAAGGACAGCCTGGTGTAGAGAGTAAGTTCCAGGACAGCCAGGGCTACACAGGAAAAACCCTGTCTGGGGGGGAGGGGAACATTGTTCTCGACCTGAAGCTCTGGAGCGTCTCAGATGGCAGCCTCTTCTTAGACTCTGAGAATGTTCTTTGAATGAACAATCCACTTGGTGGACTGCATTGCGATAGAGTGAAAACCCCACAAAATAATTAATGCAAATTCAAGATGAGAGTGTGATGAATTTGAAAGTATGATGGTTAGCTTTTATTTATTTGTTTATTTGTTTATGTTTTCCGAGACAGGTTTCTCAGTGTGGTCTTGGTTGCCCTGCCTGGAACTCATTCTGTAGACCAGACTGGCCTTGAACTCACAGAGATTTGCCTGTCTCCGCCTACCAAGTGCAGGGATATTAAAGGCGTGCACAACCACCACCCTGCCAATGGTTAGCTTTAATTGCCGACATGATATAGCCTAGGATCACCTCAGGAAGGAGACTCAATGAGGGATTTTCTAGATTAGGTTGGCCTATGGGCATGTCCTGGGGTGGAGGTTGCCTTGCTTAAATTAATTGAGATGGGAAAACCTGCCCACAGTGGGTGGAACCATTCCCCGAGCAGGGGATCCTGGATTGTATAAGAGAGGAGAAAGTGAGCTGGGCCCGCATGAAACATGAGTTCACTGCTTTCTGCTCTTGTGGATATAATATGACCAACTGCTCCACGTTCCTTGATTTTTTTTTTATTTCTTCAACAGCACCAAAACCAATATCTAACATATTTAAAGGATACTTATTACATATCACTGAAATAAACTAAATAGATGAATGTTATTTCTTCATAAACCCACATGGTAATTTTCAATTTATCAGAAGGCTGGTGGTTGAAACCTTTTGTGTTGGCTTAATCTTCCATCTTTGATCTAATTTTTGGTCTTTTATCTTTCTTTATCGTGTATGTATGTACACACATGCCACAACATGTGTGTGGAGGTTCCAGGACAACTCGTGGAAGTTCTTTCTTCCACTGTGTAGATTCCTGAGATAGGGTCCTGTTAGTCTTGGCAGCAAGCACCCTTACCCCCTGAACCATCTACCGACCCACCTCAACAGAAGACAAGCTAAGGTATCTGTAACTCAGCCTGGCCTCCAACCACCACTTCCCCTTTGGAAGGTGAGGGTAGGACCTGGAACTAGAATTTCTAATGGGCTCCTGGTGACACTGATGGCTCTGGACTGGACAACTGCTTTCCGCTCACAGTGAAAAAATGTCACTGATCAGAGACGACCCCTGATCCATCTGTGCATCTTCCCTTAACAGTCTGAGCGGTAGGTTAGGGAGATGGCTCCGCGGATGAAGCATTTTCTGTGCGAATGTGAGTACCTGAGCTTGGATCCCCAGCACATAAATGCCAGGGGCATGGTGGCCCACCTGTAATCCCAGCTCTCTAAAGGTAGAGACGGGGCATTCTGAAGCAATCCAGTTATCCGGGGTACTGACCTGCTTAATAAATAAGGTGGGGGATGGTCGAGAACAACTCCCCCCATCAACCTCAGGCTCCACAGGCACACATGAGCAGGCTTATCTGCACATACACATAAACCCGTATGCATGAATGAGTACATGCACATGTATGCACACAAGCAACTCACGGACACACACACATGCACAGATATACACATACAGAACCATGCATGAACACGTAGACATACACGCATGCATGAAATGTCTGAGTGCCAAGAGCATGTCTAGCTATGAAGGAGTTCCAAGAACTTAGCCAGGTGCTGTGGCACATGCATCTAAGCCCAACACTTGGGAAATGGAGACAGGATGACTGGGAGTTTTAAGGTCCTCTTTGGTTATATTGCAGGTTAAAGGACAGTTTGAGCTACATGACACGCTTTCTCAAAAAAGAAAAAAAAAACTAAACCAAACAAGGACTCAGTAATGTGATGGCTTGTTTGCTTGTTTAATTAATCATTTCTTAGGGTTTTTCTTTTTCTTTTCCTTTTTTTTTTTTTTTTTTTTTTTTTTTGGAGACAGAGATTCATGTGGCAGAGGCACAGGCTAACCTCAAACTCTCGTAGTCAAGGATGACCTCGAACTCCTGAGATTACAGGCACCCAGTGTGTGTTGTTCTGGAGATCAAACACAGAACGGCATGTGTGATCGCCGAGCGCCTACCACCTGCACCCAGCCTAACGCCTACCTTCTGAAACCACTGGCCCACTTGTTCGTTCGAGTTTTGGATGTGCAGGAACCGAGTAAGCCCATATCTTACATCTATGTTGCTTTTCCTCCCCCTGCGAAGGGATGTCTGAAGATGAACCCAGATGACAGGCTGACCTGTGCCCAGCTACTGGACAGTGCCTACTTCGATTCTCTGCGAGAGGATCAAATGAAGAGAAAAGCCCGCAGCGAGGGAAGAAGCAGAAGGCATCAGCAGGTACCTCAGTTTACAACTTGAAGTGATCTAGAAATACTGCTCCCCCCAACCTCCTTTTCCACTTGTCAAAGTGAGGCAAGAGGAACACCGACATTTTCGTTGCTGCTGTTCTGATTTAGATGCGTTTATCTCAGGAAATATTGGTGGTTGCTGTAATAAAACCTACAACCATAAAATCTTGTTGTTTACAAATCTTCTTCTGACCATACGTCTCTACAGATGAGGCTGTCATGTTTCCCAGGTTAGCCTCCCACCTCAGCCTCCCAAGCACTGGGATTGAAGGTGGACAGCATCCTGCCCAGCTTGCATTTGCGTCAGATCTTGCATCCTTTCTGTTATATTGACCACACAGACATCCTGCCAGATGCCTACCTAAAACCTAACAAGGGCACCCTGATCACAACAGGATTGAATTTTGCCATCACTGGGACAGAATTCCACCCTCTTCAGTAGCCTCTAGATCCATGATTCTCAACCTGTGGGTCGTGACCCCTTTGGGGATTGAACAACCTTTCACAGGGGTCACCTAAGACCCCCAGAGAATACTTATGTTTTTTACATTATAATTCCTAAAAGTAGTAAAATCACAGTTATGAAACAGGTACAAAAATAATTTTATGGCTGGGGCCAGCCATCAATGAGGAACTGTATGCAAGGGTCACAGCCTTAGGAAGGCTGAGAACCACTGGTCTAGAGAATCATCTCTTGCCCATGCAGGGAGTTAAGATGGCCTTTTATAGGCCTTTCCTAGAAGCCAAGGACAAACTTTTCTAGATCAAAAGGAAGAAGCCAGGGCTGGGGGATCGCTCAGTGATGGAACACTTGCCTAGCAACCAAGACCTATCTATCATAAAATGGGCTAGACGGAACAAGATGGCAGACTCTCATGAGAAATAGTGACTCTGAAGAAATCTTCAAAATTAAAACAAACTTTATCATAGGTTTATGTTGAATTCTTTTCTCCTCATCAGCACCAAAAATAAATAATAGGTAACAAAAAAGATGTTTGTTACATTTCATTAAAATAAAGTAGATAACTGTTATTTATCAATAAACCCAAAAGGTAATTTTCAATTTATCCACGACTGACAATTGATGCATTTTGTATTTGATTAATCCCCCATCTTCGATCTTATTTTTAGTTGTTTAGTGTTGGTTTCCATGCATACAAAGCTGCCAGGCATCCACATTTTTATTGCACAGGCCATTTTACTTTTCACTATTAATTGCTTTCAAGTCAATCCTAGCCCTTACACATAAATAACAAATAGATTAGGGCTTGGGGCCGAAGATGTTGCCCAGTGGTTAGGAACACCTGTTGCTCTTACAGAGGACACTAGTTCGGTTCCCAGCCTTCTGAACTCTACATGGTAACTCACAACCTTCTCTAATTCCAGCTCCAGGGGCTTTGGTGCCCTCCTCTGCCGTCCACATGTGCCAGGCAAACATGTGGCACACATACATACATACATGCAGGCAAAACACTCATACACATTAAAATAAAAAGTCTTTAGAAGTTTAATAAAGATTAGGGCTTGTGGATAAGTCTGAGACACTGATCTGGAATACGGTATGAATGTATAAGAAATGCCTGCAGCTTTGAGAACCCCTCACCCACCCCCACCTCTGTCGTGGGGGAGGATTCTCCCTGAAACCCTTACATACAGTTCCCTCGTGTGGTGACCTCCAACCATGAACGTATTTCTGTTGATACTTTGTCATATTGCCACTGCTATGAGTCATAATATAAATATCTGTGTTTCTTGATGGTTTTAGGTCACCCCTATGAAAGAGTCATTTGACTCCAAAATGGTAGCAACCCACAGAGTGAGAACCACTGTGACAGAGGATTCCCAAGGCCCGCTGTCAACCAGAGAGTAAGAACCAGAAGTACAGCAGGTGATAGGTAGCCTCATTCATCAAGATTCACCAACATCATGTTTGGTGTTGGTGGGCTTCCTTGGTAAACTGTGTTCTCTCCGCTCACGCATAGTGGGTCCCATATGGTACCCATTGTGATACCTTAATGCAGCCCAAGCAGAACCCCAGAGAGCAAAGCTGAGAGGACCGGAAGACAAGGACCCGAGCTTGAGGAATTTGAGCCGGGCACAAGTTACATTGACAGAGCATTTGCCTAACATGAAAGAAACCCTGAGTTGCCCAGCACTGTGTAAACAGGTCCTTGGTACTGGAATTCTAGAACTGGGGAGACTGAAGCAAGAGGGTCAGAGATTCAAGGACCATGCTCTTTGTCTTGGCTACCTAGGAAGTTGGTGCTACTGAGACCTAGCCAAGAGAAGGTCAGAGAGAGGTGGGGGAGACAGGGATGGAGAATGGAAGGATGGACAGAGGATGGACAGATGGACTGGCTGGTCATGGTCATACACGCCTGTAATATCAGCATCCTGCATTCTGTAGGCCGAGGCTGGAAGACCGGTGAATGTTTAAGGTTGGCCTGGCCTACATATGGAGATCCCGTTTTCCTGTCTCCAAAACAAGGGGGACATTTAGAGATGCTGCTGAGTGGTAGAGGCTTGTGTATGGCATGTTCTCTACAATCCTAGTGGAGAGGATCCCCATAAAAGACCAGTCACCCCCCCCAAAAAAAGAGAATTTTGACAAAGATCAATGCTAGAACACAGGCCTGCTCTTAAGGACAGTGGTCACTCTTGCAAGAGGTCAGATCCCCTGAAGAGATCAGGCCACGCCTCCACCTGCAGCACTCCCTGGGACAGAGCACAGAAGCTGTTCCATGGTGTTTTCTATAGCCTGTAACCTATGGTCCTGACCTGTATGTACCTGGCTCACCCATGCTCTGTCGCGCATGCTATGTTGAACTGACTCATGTGGATTCATGTCAAAACTCCCACCACCCTTTGAAAGCATTGAAAGCCCTGATGCTCCCTTGTTCTAGGGGTTGCCCTGGGGATTTTGTCGGAAGGTAGCTCTGCACCCCCTTTCTTGGCAGCTATCTCTTTTTCCTCCCTATCTCTCATATCCTTATTCTTGAGTCTGGCACCTTAGACCACTTGGCTAGCCTGGCACCGCTATTTTCTTAATGAAGTCCTTTTCAGGATTTTATATGGAAGCCTTTCTTTCCCTTGAAGGTCCTGTCATATTGGCCTCTCACATATATTGTTCCATTGCTGTCTAACATCTCCCCCACAACCTCAAGGTCCAATCTTGGTCTGGAGGCCCTTTCTCCTAATAAACGTCACTCCTAAAGGGGAGTTCCATATCGGCTTCCTTTCCCTGATGGATGCTGCCGTTCTGTTACCGTTATATTTAAAAAAAAAAAAAAAGGGAAAGGGGAAGGGGGACAGGTTACACAAGGGCCTTTGTGCTCCCGTGACTTGGCTTCAGGAGTTCAACTGTGTCTCTGCATGGTAAGAAACGACTTCCTTAAGACCGCTGTCAAAAGACAGAGGAAAAAGACTCATTTTTTTAAAATGATGGCAGGATGCTGTTTCCAGGGATTCTTGTGGAATAGCTGGTGAAAATCTCTTAAGCCTTGACGGCACACTCAGAGATATCATATTGAAGTAAGCAATAGTATGTCTATGAGAACCCTGAGATAGCTCACAGAAGCAAATTTCCCATCCAAGTATCAGAGGAGCACAGTTTTTGGATAAGCGAGTAAGCATAATTTTAAAATTGGTGAGTTTCGCCCTCTTTGTGCGGTGTGTCTTTTTGTTGTTATTTTAACCCAAATGGTACCTATAGTAATGGTTTCCAATTTACTTTCTTGTTTTTGTCTTGTTCTGCTATTAGAATCAACTGTTGCCTCTTATACCTGGAAGCCACATCTCCCCAACACCTGATGGAAGAAAGCAAGTCCTCCAGTTAAAATTTGATCACCTCCCTAACATTTAGGGAACCCGGTCTTCCCAGTGCACCCATTTAATATGTAGATACTTTTGTATGCGACAGGAACGCTCAGTGTTCCCGGTGCAAACGAGCGGCGTGCAAATGAAGGTGCCGCTGAGACCCGGGTCGCTCTGATCCTTCTGATTCCTTTCCCTGTGCCTTTCCCATGCCAACTCTGTCTCCTAGAACACTCTCTTCACATGTCCTAATGCCAAAATGGCGCCCATACGGAGGAGGTTTGCAGTTCATCAGAGCCGGATTTCCTCAGACACTGCGAATCTGTGGGCTCACGCTTCCATTAGGGAAGGATCTCATGAGCCGTCTCCCTTCTGCTGACCACGTAACATCCTGAAGCAGGAGCAGACCTGCCGGCTGCTGTTGACAGAGGGGACACCACTCAGCTCCCCCGCTGCAGTCTCTTCTCAGCGTAGCCTGGACTTTTGGCATTTACACGGCGGCAGCATGGTGACCGGAAGAGACGGTCTACGGTAACCTCTTCACTCCAGGGCAGAATCTTCTCCATCTTAGGAGGCACTGCGGATTCTGCTTTTACAGCGAGCTGGAGTTGATCCACAGCGGACAGACTACAAGGAATCACCCACCGCATGACAGTAATGTTCCTGAATCACGGACTGCCCGCTCTAAGGCTGTCCCTGGTGCGCCATGCTTTCTCCTTTCTTCTTTTTTAACCCATTTGTGTGTGTGGAGTCGGTGGAGCAGGGGAGACCTCACATGTGACGTCAAAGGACAAGTCGGAGGCCAACCTGGTCATTATGGCAAGCCCTTGTCTTAACACCCACTCTCTAAAAGTTGATTGAACCCAAATCCCTGTTGCTGGACATAGAAAATCTGTATAGTTCATACATATGTAGAATGCCATTGTTGTCATTTGTCAAAATAGCTAAAGATCTTGCTAGTAGTAGAAGTGTACTTTGCCTCGGTGGATATCTTAGTATTTCATTTCTGACCTGATTACAGTTAGATTAAAAAAAATCAAAGAATGATTGTGTATTTTACATTTTTAAAGTAGACCTGCTTTAGTTACGCTAGTTAAACCCTTATGAGAGGCTGGGGATGTGACTGGGTAGATGCAGCTCTTGCCTGATAGTCCTTGCAGAAGTCCTGGGTTTCCTTCCCAGCTTAGACAAAAACAGCTGTAATCACACCTCCCTGGAGTCGAAGTTCGAAGTCACCTTGGCTCCTCATAGAGTTCAAGGCCATGCCCGGCTAACATTTTCCAGGCCTGAGGGTGCACTGTGTAAGGGGTAGAAAGGGAGATCTCAAGTTCAAGGCCAGCCTGAGGGTGCACTGTGAGGCTAGCTCCAACCAAACAGAAGTAAACGAGTTAGCTGGTAAGGGCAGTCTCTGGCCAAGTCTCTAAACCGTCTCTCTGAAGAATGCGCCGTGTTTCCAGACGGTTTCAGAATGTGTGTGGACAGAAGCCAGGCTATTTCAGCTCACTCGACCTTGTAACCATCGTTAATTAGCATTTAATAATTAGTATGATAGATTAGAGTTAACTACAAAGTAGCATTGGCTGAATTGGGTTAAATGCATAATATTATGGCATTTAAACTTTTTACTTCAGATATTTCGAAAAGCTGGGTGAAGATTAAACACTTCAGCGACTGTGTATTTGTGTATTTAACTTGACTGTTCTTTAATTTATTTTAATAAAAGCCAGAAGCACTTCTGTCTCCTAATTTCTCTCCAAATCAACTATTGGTCTATTACCTGATGCTTCACACTTACAGGAAAGTCGTCTCTGTCTCAGTTCCACGCATGTTTTCTCACAGGCTGCAGAATCTGAACGGCTGACACAGCAGACTGCTCCTGTGGGGATTTTGACAAATGGGAAACTCACAAAAATCTCTTCCAGGCTGACTGACCAGCCAGACGCTTAGCCCGGAGAAAATCTAGGCAACTTTACCAGAAGGCTGAGAGAGTCTTTCTATTTCAATCTATCAGCATATTTCTCTACCCCTTTATAGTTCTGCAGAATGCAGCGCGGACTTGTGTCTTGAGTTTCAGCTTGCAGAGGGCTTTGTGTGGGCTGACAAAGGGGGAGAGGATTCCAGACCAAATGCAGAGCAAGGATCAAAGGAGAGAGAAGCAATTCCCAGTGAGTGAGGTCACTGTTCCAATATGCTTCGCTTCTTTTCTCTCCAGCTGATGGTTCTGCCTTCAGAGTGTGTGTGTGTGTGTGTGTGTGTGTGTGTGTGTGTGTACACACCTGTGTGTGGTGCACTCACCCAGTAGGCACACCTGGGGTCAGAGGTGGGGTGTACACCTCAAACCTTTCTCTACCTTATTCTTAAACATTTGTTTGTTCCCTGCCACCAAGAAGGAAAGTCCCCTTCATCTCACCTAGCCTTACATCCAGGATGGCCTTGGGACCTCCTGAGGCACAGACTGGACTGAGCCCTTGAAGGCCTGGCAGCTCTGTTTCTCCTGAGAAGGCAACCTAACATGCTTGAGGCCCCGAGTTCGAACCCCAGCATTGAAAGGGGAGAAAAAAGAGTATTATATGAAACGATGAAATGATTATTTTAATATGCTTTGTAATCGAAGAAGCTATATAAATATTGATTATTCTCTTCACCCTCTAAGACTTAAAAGTTTTTTTTTTTAATTATACCAGTTTCTTTCACGTGTGGAAAGGGGAATGCATGCTGAGGTGTGTGTGTGTGTGTGTGTAGGTCACACGAAGGGGATGGGAAGGGTGAAGGAAGAGTTGGGGAAGGGAGAGAAGCAGCAACAGCTAGCTCACCACTAGAAACAAATCCATGATGGTTAACCCGTAACGAAGAAGCCACTATCTGGAGCTCCACCATTCCTCCCTCCTCTTCAGCTTCTGTCCTCCAGGGCTCCCAGTATCTGGTGAGCTCCACTGTGTAACATCCGGACAGCATAGAATCTCTGCCCTTTGCCCACTTTTGTTGTCTGTCCACGTGTTGCTACTGCCGTTTTGTGTTGAGATGGGCTCTCTTGTTGCCCAGCCTGGTCTTGAGCTGCCTCATGCCTCCCTCCACGCCCAAACGACCAGTCAGTGCTGGGATCACTACACCAACTCTTTGAACTCCTTATGGCTTGAAATTGAGCAAAAGCCAAACTAATTCTGCCTTACTAAATGATTAGCCTAAAAGAGTTCAAAGCAAAACCCTCCTCGCGTTCTGCCTTAAATATTCTATGAGACCCTATCTCAAAGAAAAGTTTAACAATATGCTGAAATATGCCTAAAACAAACTTTGTATGCTTAAAATATTTACTAACACCAGCCCGGGCCCTAGGCCTGCTTGTCTTCCAAATAAATCCACTGGAGGAAATGAGAACCTTTGGCCTCTGGAAGCCATCATGCTGCTGACTTTAGTAAGCCTCACTGGCTTCGCAGAAGGCAGCGAACAGTCAGGCAAGACGTCTGTAAGGATCTGTCCCAGCAGGGTGCACTGTGAAATGACACAAACAGCCTTTTCTCGGGTCTGCTGTAGATGGAATAGCAAGGTGAGGACAAAGAAGGGTGCCCTAGCTTGGTGAGCGCTCAGCCAGCATTGCAAAAAGCTAGCCCTGCTGCGGTCTCAGGCCTCTTAGTCTACTGCTAGAGGCCCATGCTCCTTCCTGACTGTGGCAAAAGAGCTAAGTTCTGTGGTGTAGAACCCTGGGCGGGGTTGCTTTGGCTCTGGGCTGGGTCACTTGCTTTGTTAGTGTTGTTTGGTGTTGCACACTGAAGCCGTTACGCCATGAGCAAATGGTAGAGCACAAATACACCCACTAGGTGCCACTCTGAAGTGGAAGAAGGCATGTCAGGCGCTCTGATGAAGAAGAGTGGGCACGGCGGAGAGAGCAGCACCTGACGGCCAAGCTGGAATGCAGCTGGAGGTTTCCCCTCGCAGGGTTCCCGGGAGTAAAGGAAGGCCCTGGAGTCACAGGGCTGCTAACTTCTCTGATAAATGTGCTTCCCATTTTCCCTCGATCTCCTATCTCAAGAAATAATCCAATTAAATGGCTAGTGAATGTTTTGTATAATCATCCTTTAATAGTGTTTTATAGCTTGATTAAGTATTTTACAAAGTTTTCTATGGTGAAAGTATTAAAAATAGCACAGGCTTTTCTTTTCCCCAAAATAATATAAGCTATTCATAGACAGTCTGGAAAATACAGATAAACCCAAATTTTAAAAAAGTGGGAATGGGGAGAAACTCGCTCATGACCTCAGAAACCAGAAGGGATAATCTGGCTGTTTAGATTCTACACATGCACGTTTTAATCTTTTTCTGTGTGTACACACACGTGTTTCGAAGAAAGTAAAATTACACTGGCCATAGCTTTTATAACTACCCCTTGTCAATTAGATAAACTTCGAGTATTTAAACCTTTTGATTACATATTCATAATGGGGCTAGGGAGATGGCATAGTGGGGAAGCATACTTATTGCTCTTGCAGAGGACTTGGGATTGATAACCAGGCATCCACATGAAGTTTCACAAGCATCCATAACCCCAGTTTCAGGGGGATCCTATAGACACATTCATAATGTATATACATAAAGTAAATACATTTAAATAAATATTTATAACTTTCTTTAAACATTCAGTTGTTACTAGTTTTGCTTCTAAAATCAATGCCTTGAGTATCTGTTTGGTTAGAGCTTTGCACGCACCTCCTGGACGAGATTTCCATCTGGATAAACAGCTCCAAATGGAACCGCTGGGTCAGCAAGTCTGTGCCCTGCTACGGCTTACGGTACATGCTGCCAAGACACTCCTCAGAAAGGCTTTTGCAAGTTCTCTTTCCAGCAGTGGTATGAGGTAGCGGCCACTTTCCACACTTGCAGCAAGGTCACGTGTTACTAATCTGGGAACTCTCTGTGTCACTGAAGAAATGGCAAGGCTCTGTAACAGACACTCAGACCGCACTGGTGACCGGGTGGAAGAAAGTGAGAACTGAGGCTATCACAAACCACCCGCTTTCTCCCTCCATTTCAGTGTGTACGTACAAATGTGCACATAGTTTAATTTGCTAAAACTACGAAATAATTTTAAAGTGATAGCTAATAGATCAATACGACTGTGTTCCAGAACCATTTACAGCAAACCATTTCATGAAATCTTCAGAGCCTTATATAAGAATAGTGTTCTTAATATTTAGTACCCTTTTTTTTTTTTTGAGATAGGATCTCATATAGCCCAGGATGGCCCCAAACATATATGTCATGGGGGGAGGACCCTGAACTCCGCCAGCACCTTCTGAGTGATAGAATTCCGGTGTGTGCCAGCAGCCCCAATTTCTGTGGTGCTGGGGAGCAAACCCCGGGCTTCATCCATGCTAGTTAAGCACTACCAACTGCCCTTGTCCTCACACCACAGCATACATGAGGTCAGAAGACAGCTCACAGCCGTCGGTTCTTTCCTCGACTAGAGAGGTCTGGGAGGTCGACTTCAGGCCGTCAGGCTTGGCAGCAACACCTCTGCTGGCTGAGCCCCCTCACAGGCCCTGATACCTATATTTTTAAAAAGCAAAATTGTGTTGTGAAGTGAAACCCCTGGCCCTGGGCAGTAGAGCTGGTGTGACCGAGTTAATGTTTGGGTGTCTGTCCTCAAAGTCCCTCTTCTGACCTCCCTTGGGAGCTTCCAGATGGATCTCTGTTCATCCTCTATTGTTGAGGCAGACCAGCTTCCTAAACACAGAACATGTATCACCCAGAGGGTGCATTGCATTTAATTATGAAAAATGTGCTTGTATATACAATGATTAGTAAATAAATGAGCTGTGTGGAGAGAGGAGAGGGAGAAGCTGTCCTATTAAGAAATTTCAGCCGGGCGGTGGTGGCACACGCCTTTAATCCCAGCACTCGGGAGGCAGAGGCAGGCGGATCTCTGTAAATTCGAGATCAGCCTGGCCTACAAGAGCTAGTTCCAGGACAGGCTCCAAAACCACAGAGAAACCCTGTCTTGAAAAACCAAAAAAAAAAAAAAAAAAAAAAAAAAAAAAGAAAGAAAGAAATTTCAAATAAAATATACATATGCTGCGGGGCTGGAGAGATGGCTCAGTAGTTAAGAGCCCTGGTTGCTCTGCCAGAGGACCTGGGTTCAATTCCCAGCACCCACAACTCACAACTGTCTGTAACTACAGTTCCAGGCAATTTGACACCTTCAAACCAAATGCACATAAAATTAAGTTAAATAAGTATTTAAAAATATGCAGACGCTTTCCTCTCCAAGAGTGGGGTATCAGCTCCCGTTCCCTTTGAGCTGGGTTGGGCTAGAGACTGACTCTGAGGAGCCGAGCATGAGAATGAGGAAACGGTGACCTTAGAAGGGACCTGGAGGCTCCACTGCCGCCACCTCATCCAGGTGTCATCAAGTCATCCATGTGTCACCATCGAGAAATCCTGATATCCTGTCTTTGATCTGCTGTGACAAGACCCATTGACTCTGGTCTCAGCCCGGTAACCCATAGCCTTTGTCTAACTGCGGGAAAAGAGAATCAGATGAACACAGACCCAAGGAGCGCTGCTAAAGACTAACACCACCACCACCACACCCCCCCCCCCCCCCCCCCCCCCCCCCCCCCCCCCCCCCCCCCCCCCCCCCCCCCCCCCCCCCCCCCCCCCCCCCCCCCCCCCCACCCCACCCCCCTCCCTCACCCTCCCCCACCCCCACCCCCCCCCCCCCCCCCCCCCCCCC